TTCTGGACAGAGCTACCACTGTAAACACACAAACTTCAACATGTCTGTTGGGGTTTTGTCTGTTTGTTTGTTTGTTTGCTCCTCCACGGGGTTCAGTTTTGCTTCCCAAGTTTATGAACCCAAACATAGCAAAATTTGAGCATCACGGGGAATACATTTCTGCACAAAGAGGGAATTAAAGTATATGGCTGGAAAAGGGAAGGGGTGGTATGCTAGAAGGGGGAGGGGTGATCCTTCTCCTCTGCTCAGCACTGGTGAGGCCACATCTGGAGGGCTGGGTTCAGGTTTGGGCTCCACAATACAAGACATGTGGCCATACAAGTGAGAGTCCAATGAACAGCCACTCAGACAACTAAGGAACTGGAACATCTCTGCCATGAGAAGAGGCTGGGAGCTGGGTCTGTGCAGCCCGGAGAAGAGAAGGCTCTAGGGGATCTCAACCGTGTGCATACATGGTGGGAGGATGCAAAGATGTTAGACACAGGTTCTTCTCAGTGGTACCTAGTGACAGGACCTCTGGGGAAATGGGCGCAACCTGAAACACAGGAGGTTTCCTTTGAACATCACAAAATGCTTTTTCACTGTGAAGGTGACCAAGCGCTAGTACGGGGTGCTCAGGGAGGTTGTGGAGTCTGCATCCTTGGAGATATTCCACAGCTGTCTGGACATAGTCCTGGATAACTGGCTGTAGCTGGCCCTGCTTGAGCAGGGTTTGCACAAAGTGAACTCCAGCGGTGCCTGCCAACCTCAACCAGCCTGTGATTCTGTTAAAAAATGAAACAGACACACTCCCCCCCCCCCAAAAAAAAAAAAAAACAACAAAACCCAAATCCAACCCAAATCAAAATATGCACTCATTGTAATGAGTGTGTCAGCAGAGCTTCCTTGCATCATCTAAATAAGCACTCATTCTGTGCCAGTTACAGGTAATAACTACCCTTCTGTTTTCTCTCATCAGCTTTGGGCAGTCTGCCATTACTTGTAGGCAGCTTCACAAATGGTTTTAATTAACCCCAGTTTGTCTGCAAGGATTTCAGGGCCTCTCCCTTGCAGGTCCTCCTTGGGGAGCTGCACGAGGCGGGTGCCCCTGGCTGCTGAGCCCAGCTGAGGAGCAGCACCTCTGGCCAGAACAGGCTGAACAGAGGGGAGGTGGCTGGGCAGACGTGCAGCTGCTAGGGCAGCGAGCTCCAAAACAGTGAGTTCTGGAAATAATTAACAGGCAGTGCCAGCAAATGAGTGCAGCCGTTACGGTCCTGCCTTTAGAGAGCACGTTAACAGATTCAATGGCAAGTGAATTGCACCGTGTGCAGCTTTCCAGTGCTTTTAGAGATGACATCCCCAGAGCCTCGTCCGCTGGCAATGTAATTTCAAAGTAGCAACGGCATTCACAGGGAGCGGGAGAGCCTCCTCCAAACATGTACATGTGCCAGACACTAAGAACTAGCAGCTTCTGGAAATGTTGTAGTAAGAACAGCCAGGAATGTAGTTTTATGGGCTGCCTCCCTAGGCTCTCTTGTGTACTTTGCAGCAAGTTTGCGCCTCGGCTTTAGGGTCTGATTTTAACTTTAGTTGTGACTTGCCGTACAACAGAAACAGCAATTCTTAATTGTTATTAATTCTCCATTACATAATCTTAGAGCATGCTGGCATTCTAATTAACTTGTAAAATTCAGTCCAGAATACATAGGCAAATCATTTAATAGGATTCACAAACACATGCCATGAGCTCAAAAGAAAAAAAGTCACTCCTTCCAGCCCAGTGTAATGGGAAGCTACAACTACTTTCTCCCCATGCAGCTTTTAAAAAACATGGTACTTCTGCCTGCTTATTCCTGCTTACAAAGCCAGCACAAAGTTAAACATTCTACTGCTAATGTACTTGGCATCAGGAGGAGAAGTGCCATTATATCCAGCAGACAAGTGAGGAAACAGAGACAGAGAAATCAAGGTTAAATTCATAAAGGGAGCATGTGACAAAGCAGGGACTTGGACTCCGTGTCTCCAGACCAGCATATTAATCACAAAATTAACGTTGGTTTGGGTTTGGTTTTCTCTCCCTACTAGATGAGAGCAAAAAGCAGTTTTAAGGAGACACATGCTTTTGATGTTCTGTTTCCAGAGAACTTTAAGTCTTCCATCACTGTTGAAATGGTAACATACAGTACCATGGCTGGCAGTGATAGAAGTGACTGCACAGAACCTTTATCTATTCAGTTATACACGCTACTGTCAGCTTTGCTGACACCAAACAAGACCATTACTGTAGGCCTGGGGAAGAAGTGAGAAAGAAGGGATACTGGGGAGACAGATAGGAAGGCTTGATGAAAGAATTTGACTGCCTGTCTCCAACCACAAATACCAGCATTTTTACACCCATTTCTGACTCATTCCAGAAAAAGTATTTCACAATTTTGCCATAGTGATATGAAGAGATTTGAGTAAGTAGCTTGCAACTGTGGTATTTGCTCTACCATTTGCTTTCTCCCAGAACTTTATGTAGCCACAGATGGCATATTTACGGGATCAGAGAATGGGGGTCAGAAGGGACCTTAAAGCTCATCTGGTTCCAACCCCCCTGCCATGAACAGAAACACCTTCCACGAGACCAGGTTGCTCCAGCCTGGCCTTGAACACTGCCAGGGATGGGGCAGCCACAGCTTCTCTGGGCAACCTGTGCCAGTGCCTCACCACCCTCACAATAAAGAGCTTCTTCCTAATAGGTAATCTAAACCTATCCTGACTCCAGGTGCCTGTTAACACAGCAGCCTTGTGCATGTTTACCTTAATATACAAGGTGGATTTCAATTATAAACTGTGTCAGTGTTCTTCATGTTGTGCCTCCAAAGCCTGATGTTAAAGCAACAGCAAAGGAAACTTTGACCATTTAAGTATGAATAATTTTTGAATACAGGGGGTACTGGTAAACATTCATGGCAAAACTGTCAATGAATTCACAAGTAACAAATAATTTAGGTTTCATGTTCTTGCTCAGCATTAATAACTTTCCAACTCAAGTGTAGAGATAAGTCTTGACCACTGTGTTTGATCTGCATAAAAATCTTTGCTATTAAAAAAAACCTTGTATATAGGTTATACAGAATACTAAGAGTTTTATTTTAATGATAATTCTGACATCCTTATAAAAGCAAAGCCAAATTTCTGCTTCACGCATTTCAGGCACACCTAGCATATTTGGCTTCACCTGTTTTTGGAAGATGGAAGGAGACTGTTCAGGAACAGGGATATAACTTTTATAGATCAATCTTAAAACCATGCAACATTGATTAAATAAAAAAAAAAATCCATATTTAGCAGCATAAATTTCTGCTTCATGACAAGGTCAGGAATTGGATGGACACAATAACAGCTAAAGAAAAAGCTGATGGCAGCAAAATGGAACAGGTACTTTGAAAAGTAACTTAATGACTTTTGGCAACCATGGCAGTATTCTCAATTTTATTTAAGCTTGTGCGCCACTTGCATGTAAAAGAAATGTCCTCTGCAGCATTCATTACTAGTAATACTTAAACAGCTCAGAGTGTCCATTCCTAACTACACTGGTAGACAAAGCTATAAAAAGAGTTAATTTAATCCACAATCACCCTTTCTGTTTACCAGGTTTTTCTCATTATGCTCCACCTATCATAAAAAATAAATCACTCCCTGAGCCACCCCAAATTCCTAACCCACCCATCAGAAAGAGTTTTTCAAAGTCTTTGCTGTCCAGCTACAAAAGGTAGGGACAAATCTGATGGCAAATCCTGCTGACAAACCCATCCTTCTCTACCGCATGTGTTAGCTATTGCAAGATCAGTGGTATTGCCTTAGGTTAAAAGCAAAGTCATTGCTTGAGGCCAATTTGATGCAATTAGTTATAATTAACCATATTTTGTTTAGTTATTTGATAGTTTTGCTACTGCGAGTATTCAGAGGTCCTCCAAAGAGAAGAAATGCAGCTCAAGAATCAGGCAGCACAAAAGTCAGTCAAATACTTCCGGAGTACTAGAGGAGGGGGGACCAGGTTCCAATGGGAAGTAATTTAAGTAATTTAAGTAATTTTCAGTGTTAAGCTTTTTTGTCACTGCAATTTCCATCCTTCACAGAATGTTACAAAACCCATGGTTCGCTTCATTGCATTTTCTGACAATGGTCCTCCTGCAAGAGCAGCCTGATATATCCCCTATCCCCCACTGCTCTGCAAACAACTGGTTTAACCAGTTTCACAGACAAAGGCTGGTGGGGAACCTCAGGGAGGGGCAGAGAGTCACCATGTCAGCAACAGGAGTTGCTGTTGCAGTTTTTATTGCCTCCGTCTGCTTCTCTGCTCTTGCAGAGGCTGCATCAGTGACACCCCTGCAAAGGCTGGTGGCTTTGCCTCGGTTTCTGCAGACCACTCACAAGAGGAACATGAACTAGTCTGTATAAATATTTGGATGCTAAAAGCCAAAAATGGTACAATCGGCCTTTTGCCTTGGCAGAAGTAATGCTGAGCATCAGCAACTTAACTCCACAAGGGGAATGAAGACAGTAAACCAGTACTAGGTAAAAACCTTCTTCTGGAGTACTGTAATAGGTTCTATGGTTTTTACTTCTGGGATGCTCTGCATGCTGCAAGGGGCAAGAGATCCAAGAACTAATATGTACCTCTACTCTGGAAGCAGTCCGAGTATTCTCAGAACAAGCTTCGATTTTCAAGCAATGAAGCAATAAAACCCCTTTAAATCCTATACTCATCTGCAGCTATCAATTTAAAACACTTTCAAAGGCCATTATCACAAGACCAGGACTGTGCCCGTGCCCAAAACAGCACACTGGTTTCTACACTGATTATCTTTACCTTGGATTCTTAAGAAGCCTGCAGGGATTCGCTGACAACAAATAGAATAAATGTTTTGCTAATACTGAAGTGGATTGGACTGTTGGAGCAGTAATTGACTTGCATTTTTCCACTTTGATTTACTATTCTCAATCCTCAATCTCCATTACTCAGCCCAGCCTTGATCCTGAGAGCGAGCCTGAGGAACACAGGACAGGAGGGAAGCTCTTGAACCCAAGATGCATCTTTGCAAGACAATGATAAATTTTAGATCAAATTCAGTTTGAAAAGCAGTCAGATTATTATTTCCCTTTCCCATAGCATGTACACATTTATGTGAAAGCTGTTAAAGTTGACTTTAAATATCAGGCTTTCGGTTTTGACTATTTTGTATCCATTTGTTACGTCAACTTTTTTTTACCTTACACTCCCTTCTCTGACCATGTATTTGTATAATAAGCATAGCCTAACACAAACATGGATAGCAAGAAGATAAACACACCAAACTCTCACTTGAATCAACAAACAAACCAACCGCCTCATCATCCACAGTGCATCTAATCTTTGTGCAGATACTGAAAAATTATCACAGGGAATTATTTGTGCCCTTTGAAGTTGAGTGCTAGTAGGAAGTGCTGATTTACAAGGTGGCTTAAAATAAAAAATACTAAGTGTAGTCCTTTTGACAAGCACATTAATACCTTCTGCATCCCTCCTCTCCTTCGTGTCAGACATTGTCAGATTGTTAGTAACAATCTAGTAACATATTTGAAGTCATTTAAATGAGCCTTTTTCTCATTAAAACTTGATTTTTCCTAAAAAACAACCCACCAAAAATAAACAAAAAAAAAACCCAAACAACAAAACCCACCCAAAATCCCAAACCCTTGTAACAAACCAATTTCTCTTCCTCTTCCATCCATCTAGAAGTATCCATCACTGTTACTGTGTTCCAAAGTAAAGACTGCAGCTACTACACCAGATCCATACAATCTTCTCTTTAATACTTCAGTTAGCATCCCCTTGTTTTCTGTCTTCTACCTGAGAAGCATTGTCTCAGGTAGGAACAGGCATTCAGGGAAAAGAGAAAGGCATTCTGCTGGGTGAAGGTGAATTTTATTGCAGTGACAAGCCACATGAAAAGGCCATGAAAAGACACATTTCCAACCAAACACTTGTCTATTCAGACTAGCAATTACAAAATTACTGTAACAAATAAATGTTTACCCCTTCATACATTTGGTTTCTCATCTTGCGGATGGTAACTGCTATGTGCAAGGCTCCTAAGAAAGATATTTTCACAGTACCAACAGAACTAGCAAGTAGCTGAAGAAGTATTGGTGCACTGGATGAAGCCAGGGTATAAGCCAAATGAAGCACAGACGGTTAAGCTGCCTTCAAAGCCACTTAGTACAAACTAAGGAGAGTTCTTAACTATTCCTCCACAATTTCAGAATATATAATCTGTTATCAAAGCAAAAGGATGGAGGGTGATAGCCAAAGGAAGATTTAAATTTAGAAAATAAACTAACCACTCAATTATAGTTTGGCAAAGGAAGGTCACAAAAGAAAAAAGAAACTCTACTCTTCCAGGTATCACTTCTAACATGGGTTCCCTTTGGCCATCCTGACCCCTAAATCCAACTAGCTGCATCTGCTCTACAGCCTGACAAGCTCTGGTCCTCCAGTCTTTCAAACGGAGCCCATTTTGCTTGCACAGATGAATCTCCTTCCAGGTAAAGGGAACAGGAAAGGTGTATAACCCATCTTTAAGTCAGCACAGGTACTTAAAAAAATCAGCCACGGGGCACACACAGGCCTAGGAACTCTGAATCACTCCCATTTTGGGGTTTCAATTAATAATCTGCATAGTATCAGTAGAATGGCTTTTGTTTTTTTTTCTAATTATACCCTCCTTAGGCTTGGGCTGAAGGCAGGCTCATAAAGGAGTAAGAATTGGTCCTAAGCTTGTAAACTCTGGGCAGGGGTTATGTTTTCTAGGAAACATCCTAACAAATATGGCACTGTAAAGAAAACAAACAATCATAAGAAGCAGAAAGCAAATTCAGCACAGTGCTCTTCCAAACAAGAGCACCACAGTGTATCAAGAAGCAGCATTACTGGTTAAATCTTCAAATTGCTTTTTGAAAGCAGACCACAGCTACAATGCTGTACATTACAAATGCAAATATATGACATATAAAAAGTTTTCTACGCAAAATAATCCTGCTTCCAGTCCACATTTTTCTATGCCATTTACTGCAAGTGTATATTAAACTTTGATACATTTGCTTACAGTTTATTGCCACAAAGGTAAATTCTGGTAATCTTAGCAACAGAACGGAGCTTAGTAACAGTTATTAAAATATTTTTACAGTAATTAAGATCTTAATCTTCCATTATAAGAAAAAAAAAAAAGAAAAAAGTGATGCAAGTTGTCCACTACATTCAGAAGTACGATAGTTGAGTTTTACTGAAAACCAGTGAGCATGCAACTCAGACTTGAAACCAATAAGGAACCGGTATTTAATAAAGCCAGATATATATGTCATTTGCATACAATCTATTCACAGCTTAAAAACATTGAATTAATCTACAGGTCTGAAATATGTGCATTTTAAACGGAACTTGTCACAGCTTTTCAGTGATAGCCAAGCAGACATCATGCAAAAGAGACTAGATCAGGTCAGCAGCAAACTGCATTTGAACTAAGACAAAGTTGTACCCTTCCACTCATGTGCTTCCATTGTTAAAATCACAGCAGGAGAATGACTTGCACTTATTTTTATGCATGTTTCAAATCTCTCCTGTCTGTCGCTCTGTTTTGGCATTCTTTTGAGTGATGTTAACTAAATTCAGCTGTGAATAAGTAGTTAGAATTCAACATCCCAGACCCAGAGCAAACTGTGAATGTTGAAGATATGGTAATTGTTTCAAAAGTCTAAACTTAGCCTTATGCTTGCTATCTACATTTCCACGCTACAGACATCCATGAGTCTCATCCCCTCTCTACTATTTATCAGTTTTGTGATCTACCCACAGTGAGTGTTTTCACCAGTAGCACAAACAGTAACAACTCTGGTTAAAATGCACACTGGAGGGGGGAAGGAAAAACAAAGAAACACACAACACCTTGCCGCCGCCCCCCCACCCCCCCCCAAAAAAAAAAACAACAAAAAATATGCTTAAGACTGTGGAAAAGAATTAAAATATCTATATAAAGCCTGTTGGCTTTGACAACTGTGTATTACAATATATATAAGCAAAAACTTAAACCAAAAGCACAGTTACTGCAGTTTATTTGCAACATGTGCTGCCTAGATTAATCTCAGCCCCAAGTAAGGCAATATTTAAAGAATAAGCATCCTTTCCTCAGGGCCTCAACTAAGATAAATAAGAAAGGAAGAATACTATTTAGTATTGGTATGTATAGCAGGGAGTGATTCTCTGTAAAACAGCATGGAGTGTGAAAATCTGACTGAAAAAGATAGAAAGACTTTGATGAAACAGAGTTTAAAAAAATTTGTCTGCATCTTAATAAATTACAAATAAATTAAGCTGATGAAAGGCAGCATGGACTATAAAAAGGGGAAAAGAAGACTGAAGCTAAAAAAAAACCAAAAAAAAGCTGCTGTGTTGGTAACAATTGGTAGCAATTCTATGGCAGAGATTTATTTTTCTTAAAGAAAGCCAAAGCATTCTGTTGAATAACCTGGAACTGAGATTATCTCATCCATGCAGAAGATTTGTGCAAATGTGTGCAAACACAGAGAAGTGAGAGAAGGGTATAACATCTTCAATCATTAGAAAATTGAAAAGATGCATCTACTGACAAAAGCTCCCTCCTTTTCTCTCAGAAGTTATTGTTAGGAGTCTGACCTACAGACTCAGATTCTTCCTTTAGTGTCTTCAGTTTAAGTAAATCAGAATGAGTTTAGCCTTTTCACCTAAGTACAGAGGTCGCTACAGTAATGGAACTTCCTGTTCTTGAACACAAACTTCCAACCTCTAGTTAAAAAGCCATAGCTTAAGCTGTCTCTCCCAAAGCTTCAGCTCACTTATGACCTCTGATTCTTGGATTACTATCCCAAGACTTCCACTGGTGCCATTAATCTCTGCTACAGGGCCATCCTCCAGATGTGCCAAGCATTGTATTTCATATAGTTTTAGGCACTCTCTATATTTTGTGGACTGCTGCCTTGATATTTTCAATCCAGCTTCTGCAAAAAAACCCAATAACACACAAACAAAAAAAACCCAGCAAACAAAAAAACCCAACCCCAAAATAAAAATCCCGTCACAAACAAACACAAAAAATCCCCTCACAGGACTAAAAATTCAGTCAAGTTAAAGCAGAAAATGCCACTTCTGTTTCTTAATGGACTTACATTTTGTAAGCATCACCAGAGAGGAAAGAACAATTTTAATCTCTTCATCGTGCAGAGAATAACACTAACCATATAGATTAGCAAACTGAAAAAATTGCGTGAAACTTTAAAACACGTTAAAATGCCTTAAGTCTAGTTCTCGTTATTCCAGTTACTACATTAGACCAAGTTTTTAAATCAGTTTCAAAAGAGCCATCACAGGCTTGTCAAATTCTGTTTCCAAGCAATTTGCAATTAATTTGTTATGTCTCATTATACTACTGATCATCAACTTTAACATTTACAACAGGATCAGTTCACTGCTGTATCAGAGTGCAATATAGGACAGTCTTTCACAGCTACTAAGGGCTTCTTTCTTAGAAGAGTCTAAAAAGCCAAAAGTAACACACAGAAATAAAAGCTTGTAATTCAATGCTACAACACCAACAGGTTGTTCTTCTATATAAAGACTTCTCTTTTTGCAGCTGTGGAATGTGTTTAAAGATTCAGCGTTTTCACTCTTATCGAAGTCCCGACCAGCTGTGGAAGTACGAAGCCCACCCAGAGGACCGTGAACTACTCTCTTCCTCACCTGAAGGAAGAGGAAAAACATACTTTAAACTAAGTTTATTATGTTAGATGTTACATAATTTGGTTACATGACCTTGTTTCTCCCACTGCTTCTGTCCTTATTAAAATGCTGTCCTCTTAAACTTGTTGAAGAGGTAACATTCAATACTAACTCTTAGGCTGCCATAAATATATTCATGGATTTTACCACCAAGTCCACTTTACTTTGGGTACTTAACAATGTTTTACAGGCCATTTATCACCTTTCTCCAGATATATCCAATGAGTGTTCATGAGAGTGCCAGAACAAGCTCTAAATGCTATGGTCTTTCACCTCATCTTCCCAAATGCAAGCCTACGATGGAATGCAGTACTTTGCCACTTCCCTTATTAATGTGATTTTGTTCTATTTTCTGAAAACTGCATAGTAACGTCCCAACAAAGCAAAGTGGTTTTATTGCTAGCGCACTGGCATTACATTGCTAAGTTTTGTTTTCCTTCCAAAGTCTATAAAAGAAAGGGTAGAACTTCAGTTACCTTTATTTCCACTTCCTTTTTTTGCAACCATGTTTTGACCACCACATACCTTGGGCAATTGCAACTAGCTTCCCCTTCTCTTCAGGGCTGAGCTGCAACATGGTGTCTATTACTGGAAGCAGCCTTTCCTTCTCGCTTCCTGATTTTAGAAATATGAACTGCAGTAGAACATTCTTCAAGTATTCTAGATTAGCCACAGACTTTTCTCTCTCTTGATTTCTTTCCAATCTTCTTATTTCATTCTTAAGAAGCTGCAGATGAGGGAAAAAATATGCAATATTGTTCGCTTCATATAATGAGCAACTGAACAAAGATCTTTTGAAAAGCTAAAAAGCAAATTATGCAGCTTGCTTCTAAAAGAACAATGGGTGCATAGGAACACATTCTGGACAAAAATCCAGTCAAAACTGAACACAATTATGTGTTTTATTGATAAAAAATTCCACTGTAATAAAATCTATGCAGCAGTTGTAACACTATTATACAATATATTAAATATTTAATATTTTATAACAATATTATTAATATAATAGTACTAATTATTCTATTTCAGTGATAAAGAGCAATAGTTGAACATTCAAGTTAGCAGTGCGGATCAAAGACCTAACGATACTACCATTCATCAAAAACATTTTATAAAAGAAAGCTTAGCATGTTTAAAGGATATTTTTATGTCAAAAATGCTTCCAGAAAACTCAAGAAGGTACAATCAAATCAAACCAAACCAAACTCTATTAGTACATGTATCTCTAGACACGTATCTTCTTTTAATCGAAGACAGCTAAAAACCAGACAATACTTGCCTTGGGATTTACAGCCTATATCAAAGTGAAAACAGTAAGGGCACTTTACTAAACATTAAACTTCCAAACTCTTGAGGGTTTTTCTTCATAGCAGCTTTTACTCCTCAACCCCTCCCCACAATCAACCTGCATCTCTCACTGCCCAGAAACTGGGGGGGGGGAGGGAGGTGGGAAGAATGGGGGGGGGGGGGGTATAACAAAACCCAAGAAGTTGAAGTCAACTCTTGAAGCCCCAATTAGTTCTGTGGAATAAAGCCCTTCCAAAATTAAGTTTTGCATCACCAAATTTTTGTAGACTGGGATTTTCTAAACATTCCTGGTGTTAAACATTTCGGCTAAGAAACAGACCACAGAAATTAGAGCTGTCCCCACATTTCCTGCATGCCTGCTAACCTTTATTTGCTCCATCAGGATTGCATTGGTTGCTTCTGATTCACGAAGTAATTCATTCAAGTGATCAGCACTCTTTGCTGTTGTGTTTAGTTTTTGAATCAGTTCATCCTTGGTGAGTTCTGTTTGCCACTGAGGTGGCTCTGCAATTAATTGGAAAAGAAAACTGAGAGAAGCAGAAAGCATTTTCATCTACTTACCATTAGGACTTGATTAACGTAGTTCCTTAGGAACAAAATCCATGCAAAGTCAAACTGAAAAATTAATGGGCATCATTGCTGCTGCATGCTTGTTTTGTGATCTATTTTTGTATATATATTAGAAGGGGATTGGCAAATCAGTTCTAAGTATGTCAAGATACATGGTTTTAATTTACTGCTTGTTTCCTACCCATAGATGGAGATTCTCAACAGTTCTCCACAAGATGTTCAGCAGACTTTTACCACACAATTAGATGCTACCATGTATTTTTCAATTTTTTGTGGACTCTTAGAACATTGTCTGCATGCTGGCTAGAAAAAAACTACCAAAAAAAAAAAAAAGATCCTGTTCTAATAAGCCACATTAAGATAAACGGACATTTTATCTTTTCATTAATAAGAGTTAAATCAGCACTTATTGTTGCTAGTAGACTAGTCCAGAATACAAAAAGTTCTGTAACTATTCACTGACTTGCTCATCTAGTCTTTTCCCATTATAAAGTCACAAGTATGACATCTTTAAGTCACTAAAACCTGTAGCAATGTTTTACTGTTAGTCCTTACTGCAGGACAAAACTACAGAAATTCAGGATACTGTAAACTCAGCACTTAAGTAGGCTTGTGCCTTGCACCCAAAAGCATGAAAACACAACTTCCTCAGATATTTTGAGGACAGAAACTTCTGAAACTTGCGTACACAAGTGCTTAAAACAGCCGCATGTTCTACCTACCAGGTTTTTCTTCTGGGGAGTTCAAAAGTTGTTCCAAGGATGGTATGTAAGTGCTGGCTGAAGAGACGGACTCTGTGTCCGTTGTTTCCATACCTTCTCCCTCTTCCCTAGCTACAGTGTATACATCAAGAACAGGAAGGTCAGTGTTTCGCCCTTCTCTCAAGTTCTTCGTAGCTGGATTTGAAACAGCTGGAGCTGAAAAATACTGATGTTTGTCATCAGAATGAAAGTGGCAGGGCTATTTCATAAGTGTGACTGTCTCACACTGAAGAGCAGTATATATAATAGTCTTCAAAATGCAAGGGGAGGAAAAGTGAAGAGGAGAAAGCCAAATACACACATAACATTTATAATAGAAAATACAGCCTTTCACCTCCAAATGACCATTCCAACTAATGTCTGTTTCAAAATCCAAACTCGATTGGTGATTTTTATTTCAGTGACTATGAAACCTTCATGGAACTCTCCCTGAAGATGTGCTGTAGCTAGGAGTGTCAAATGTTTTTAATGCAAAACAGAATTAGATTTTTTTAAACCAGTCTTGTGAGAGGTGTAAATTGTTCTAATACTGTGTGCACTGCCCTGCTGCTTCAGTAACATATGGAAAGAGTAACTTCTTAAACTGTTCCTGCTGTTTGGCAAACGTCCAACTACATCCTAATTAGTAACTTTACAGATACAAAAATAGCACTTGAGCTTGAACACAGTAAAATCTTATATTAGAAGATGGATCAAGTAACAAGTCTACCAATAACAAACATTGTTAAAACAGCTTTCAATACACTCTTCTTTAGTTTTATCCCTCATAGTTGAGGCAAACTGATAGGAAGGGCACTGAATATTTACAAAGTAATTTCCCTCCATCTGTCTGACAATGCAAATACTGCAGAAGAGGTGACAGTGATGCAGATTCTAGAACAGAATAGAATAGTTTCAGTTAGAAGGGACCTACTATGTTCATCTAGTCTAACTGCCTGACCAAAAGTTAGAGCACGTTGTTAAGGGCATTTTCTAAAAGCCTCTTAAACACTAACAGGCTCAGGACACTGACCGCCCCTCTAGGAAGCCTGTTCCAGGATTTGACCACCCTCTTGGTAAAGAAATTCTCCTCTAGTCTGAGCCTTGCCTGCTGCAGCTTGGAACCATTCCCACTCATCCTGCCACTGTGTACCAGTGAGAAGACCTCAGCACCTCCCTCTGCACTTCCCCTCCTCAGGAAGCTATGGAAAACAGGGAGGTTAACCCCTCAGCCTCCTTTTTTCCAAACTAGACAAACCCAGAATCCCCAGCTGCTCCTCACAGCACATTCCTTCCAGCATAATGCCTTCCTCTGTATGCATTCAAGTATCTTAAGATTCTGAAGGGACGGTAATAACAAAGACTCACTTCCTTATCTGGTATCAGTGAATTGATACAGCATGCTGCAGAATCTCCAGCAAAAGTTTCTAGTGTATTACAGAACCACACGTTATGAGCATGTGTTAGATTCAGACTCAGGTACACAAATCTGTGTCTAACTCAAGATTATGACTGAAAGTTACCTCGAGTGCTTGGTTCACTCTTGAGTTGGAAGAGCTGAGTTTCTACTCTGGACAGTTGCTGCTGAAGTGTCTCTACTGTCTTCCTGTGCTCTTCTTGCAGGTTCCTAACTTGATCTCTGAAATTGTTCCGGAGAGCTTCATTCTGGGCTGTCAGCTGACTCAAAGCCTGGGCATGCTCTGTTTTCATGACCATGTTCTCAGACTGTATTGTGCAGAGCCTGAAAGCAGTGCGTATAAAATCCATGAGAAACTGACAGCAAAACATTGTCATTTTTACATCTCAAAAATGTTAAGAGTGTAAAGTAGTTTTCAATTTTTGTATGCATGATTATTTTAGAATGACTATGCAGCTTTTTCACATTTAAATTCCTCTTTTGCAGGGAAAATTTAAGACTGAAAAAGTTACACTTATTACTTATCACATGAATGCACTATACTATATAAACCCTTGATTTCTATTTCAAAATACAAAATTCAGACATCTTTGGGAAAAAAATAAAAGCATCAGACATTGTAGTCTAAATATTCTTAAATTCTAGAACTGCGACATGACTGTTTATAGTGTCATACAGGGCATGTCCTTTATTTTATACTCCACTTCCTTTAACATTATTTACCAAAGACTTAAGCAGGACTTCTGAAAATTAAAGTATCTAAGAAGCTAAGTTAAATCTTTTTTAAGGTTCACCTTTCAGTACAAAAGAGGGTAGAAGAATGTAGCTGTCAGCAAAAAAACATCAGTAACACATAAATTGTACATGGTTTGGAGATCCTCCAGAAGCAAGACAAAATTGTCACAAGCAATTAAACAAGTGCATGTATGGAAAGACTAAGCATAGGCCTTGCCCTTATAAGTATACAAACTTAAATATAGCCAGAGTAGCAAAGAGCTTGTCTCTCTGGGTACAAAGGGAACCTACTATGATACGGGCTGTTTCCCGAAAAATGCAGAAGGACGTGATTTAGTTGGTCACTAAATCAGCTGAATGCAGAAGGACATAATTTAGTTGATGAATCATTATGTGGCTATCAGGAACAGATAAACCAGTACAAAGATAGTGATGAAAAGCCAACAGTTCCTAATACTAAGCTGCAATTTCTAATGAATATTTCATGTCAACTTCTTTGTACCCTAAACAGAGAAGACAGGTCAATGAAAGAACCCTTTTGAAGAGCTCAAGTATTAGGTACTCGTGATTTTTCAAGAAGTGATACAGATTAATGTGCAAATTAAGACTGTAGCAAGCACAGACTCAAACCACAGGACCTTCTGTAAGAAAGGCACTGCGCGGACAGGGGACTGAGTATTTTGTCAGTGAAATCATTTGCTCTGCATTTAACTACCTTATTTTTGTAATAGGAAACATCCAAATTTAGTTGAGTAGTCCAACACACATGCAGTGCTGAGCACTGAACTTAGGAACAATCAATGTGCTTAACAATGCTATTTTTTAAATCTAATAGTTAACATATAGAAAGCTGGCAGAAATCTCAAATTCTCTGATTAGCTACTATTTCACTTTCACTGCTGAAACTTTTGAAGGCTTTTAAAAACTCCTTTAACTTTCTTAATAATCATGCTCTTTCCTTTGGAAGTACAGTTAAAGGCCACTACATGCCCAGTCCTTAAAGTTCACACAAAATAAAATATCTGTATCTCTTCATCATCAGACCATACTTTTCACGGAGTTCTGCCTCTTTTGCAACAGTCTCTTGCAGCATCTTATTGTGTCTTTCCAGCAAGGTGTCATGTTCAGACTGCAACACCTCAAGTTCAGACGCATTCAGCTGTGAATTATGCTGAGCATCTTGCAGCTTAACTTTAAGTTGCTCTATCACCATTTCCAATTGCTCTCTACAAGAGGAAGAAAAAGAAATAAGCAACATATATTTAAAAATAATTACATTAATTCAGAACCTATATCTGCAATATTTTGGATAGTTAATCCAAACTGCTTACTTTTCATTAAATCAATACAGCACTGTAACCAAAATAATCTTAGAATGTGACTGCTGCAGAAACAATTAGAAAAGTTCTGATCCTGTTTCAATACAGTTACAAATAGGTTTATCACATCCCATCTGAACTGCTCGGAATATAACTATAGGGTTAGAAAGTGAGACTGATGCCACTTTCTACTTTAAGCTGGTTTGAAGGAACAAGACATAGGAGAATAACATGTGGGATGCAGACGAGATAAACAAATTCTTCTTAAAAGTGGTGGAGGTTTTTTTGTTTAGTAAGTGCACATCAGTTCCATGACACTGAATACAACAGACAAATGTCTTGAGTAAATTTTGTGCAAAGGACTGGAAGGCAACATCAATATATAAAACCAGATAAGCTAAATTGGTAAAAAATAAAATCAGATATACCAGGAGGAAAGTCTTAAATCACACACGTTCTCCTTTTATGCTTTCTATATTCATATATGCAGACATTTCCATTATCTTATTAACAGTGTATCTCACTAATCCTTAGAGCTGATACTTGCAAATAATTCCTTTGAAAACTATGTCATCTGTTTATTACTTGATTTCTTGCCCACTTTTTCCCCAGGGTGACCCTCTCTCAAAAACCTGACACTATCAGCGCTTTTTAAAATTCTGCAAAAAGGAGATATAAAGAAATGCAACTCTTGCAGCTTGCTTGCTTCAAAAGAAAGGAAGAGGTAAATGTCGCTAAAAAAACCCAGACCAATCATACGCCCCAATCAAAAGCACAGGTCTCCCTCTGGTGGATTTTCAGCCGCAATTGCATGTACTGTTTTAAGACCTGTATCAGAAATTAATTTTGACAACTTACACATAAACGCCCAGTCTGGCACCAAAGATAGCAATCAATAACTATAAAACAAAGCCTTACAGGAAGCAGTCTACTTATGAGAGTGGGTTCAGACATTTTCTGAAGTGAATCTGAATTTACCCGTTTTAGGGGACATTAGGCAGTGAAACTCTCCCTGCCCTCACCCCAAGTCTTTCCTCATATAACAGCTGATAAGACAACAGCATTTCACAAATCTGCTGGAACTGATGACCGGAGCTTTACCTACACTGAACAGTTCTGCTCTTTTCTCCTAGCTGGAAGTGGCGCTTTGCAACAATACTTTACGTCAGAGAAAATGACATGTCAAGCCTATACAGAATAGGCTGGCCAATTTCTGCCAGAAAATTCATAAGAACCTTCCTAACACCTTACTTCTCCCTCTGACTGTAACAACAGGTAATCTACATAAAAATGACTGGTAAAAAAAAAAACAAAAAAAAAAAAAAGACAAATCAAGGAATTAGAAACTAGCAGTACCACCATGGTATAAATTGATCTTTCTTCTGTTCAGATAGGCAGAGCAACAGCTAGATTACAGATCAGATAAATGTACAGAAATAGAGCTTTAAAAAAAAGGCACAATAAAAAGAAAAAAGTCAAAAAAACCCAAACAAACCAACCAAAACAAAACAAAGCCCCGCAAACAAACCCCAAAACCACAAAGTAAGTGAGGAAGCAAACTGCCTCCCTTCTGATACTCTCCTTATTGAAGCGTGGAACTCCCCTGTTGGTTAGCAATTAGCAAAGGCCAGCTCAACAAATGAAGCATCAGTATTTTTCTGTATGCATATAAAAATCTTGAGTTTACCTTTCTTTTTTGGCTCCTTCAGATTCTGTCTGAGAAGCAGATTTATTCTTTTGCTGTTTTAGAACATTATGAACACGGACTTTGTAGCTCTCGAATTCAGATGTAACAGATGCTTGTTCAGCCTATCACATAGAAAACAAACCCTTCATAAGTTATGCTATTAACTATTGCTCCCTTATTTATCTGAAATGAAATGCATCTTACACTGAAACCCCACACACCCAAATTAAGAACCACCTGTTGTATTTCCTTATTTTAAATGGACAATTACTCCCACTAGAGTACCTGGGCTGCTTTGCACTCTTCTTGCAAGGTTGCCATTTTTTGCTGGTAGGCATTCAATGTACGCTGGTGTTGCTCTGAAGAAGTTCGCAGGAGTTCCTGAACTTTATGCTTTTCTGATGTTAGCTCAGCCACTTGAATCTGAAAAAAAAGTCAGTTGAAAACTTCACTGTGACAAAATTTCTTCTTCCTTCTCAAAGGGAAGTGCCACAGAGAACAACAGATTCTGCTACAGTAATTCCCACGCAGAACTGGTGAATATAAAATTAAAATCTAATAAAAGTAGAATAAAAAAAATAGACATGGGTTACTGTGTACTTAATTAAAAATGTCATGTTGTTTAAAGAGATAACTGAAGATAAAATTACAGTGGTGGGATGGTAGCATTTAAGAAAGCCAAGCCCTCTCCTTCACTTCCCTGCAACTTCTTATTACATTCAATTCCTGTTCTGCCCAGCCAACAAAATCTATATGGATAGACAACACTTAAGATTTTTGCTGACAACACTGGGTTCTTCTGTTTTAAAGCTATTTCTTTTTTTTAGAGTAATTATTTTAAACCACATCCCAACTACAAATTTCAAACTACACAGTCCTCTATTCTGTTGGAACAGGAAAAAAGAACAAGAAAGGGTAAACCTGTTTAAAGAACATCACAGGTGAAATACCTGGGGAAAGCAGCAAAGGGTCAAAACTCATTTAATAGAGTTAATAACCTAGTACAGCCAGTAACCTTTTTATTTTTCAGCCTATATTCCATCCACCCAGTACAAATAACACCCTTATTACTTAAATAAGAAACCTTATAATAATAAGGAAGTGAAGTTTCTTGCCTTAAAGGCTTCCACTTGTTGTTGACTGGCTTCCAGTTCCCCTTTTAATGATGCCTGCAACATTAGATGGTCATTTTCCTGCATGATAAAATTATCTGGTTATTAAAAACCCCCAAATCTCAGCAACTTAATTCAGTCCATTTTTTAAAAGCTAGTTTAAAAATGGACTACGCAGTCATTAAAAAAAATGGACTTACAGCTTGTTTTGAATCAGCCAGTTCTTTTTTGGTTTTCACCAGGAGTTGTTTTATCTTGGCATTTCTTTCCTCATCCTGTTGCATAGTTGACTGCAGTGACTCTTAATGCAGAAAACACCAGTTATATGCAAAAGAAACTGTCTTGTATTTCCTTAACAATATTGGAAAATATTTAACCACAATCTGACATATTTCCTAAGAACTGCAAAAAACTAGCTTAGAGTAAGTTTAGTATCCTATTCCCAAGTACCACAAAAATCTTCAAAGAAATGAGATTGTTTTGAGACTTACAGTTAAGGATAGTAAGAAATGAATTTTTCAACCACATACTAACTAGTAAACTTTTATGTGTGATACGTCAGAATGAAAACCCTTGTCAGTCACCAAATTTCAGAATTTATAATGAACTATGTTTATTAGCTGATTCTATTATTAAGTTAATCAGGCAGGCAACCTGGCTTTTATTTACTGAATGCTACATCAACTTAGTAAAGTTTCCTTTATGGAAACGTAATTTTGACTATGTAACTGTTCAGTATCCCTGCAAAACTTCCTCAAGTCAATGACTGAGAGAAGTTGTTTCTGGATGCTACTTTTTATCATTACTAACTATACCATAGTGATTCTTGCTGTTTATACATTACTCACTTATTTCTTCCTGTAGGGTCTCTTGCTTCTGTTTCTGAATCCCTGTCTCCTGCTCAAGATCTTCTATTTTGCTGTCTTTATCAGTGATCTTCTGATTAAGTTCTTTTACTAGCCTTTCATAATCAGCTATTTCCATATCCATCAGTGTACTTTTTTGAGCATCCTGCAAATTGCACACAATGAAGTTACAGCTTACTATCTGCCTTGGCTGCTAAGATTTATTTTTTTTAAGTTATATTAAAAAACTGTATTACCCATCTAAAAAAACCTTTATATCTATCCATATCCACAAGCAACACCCATCAGGTTTCCATATCCTCAGTAAATAATCTGTTTATAAACAAAACCTAGAAGCTTTGAATAACTTGTTGCTAATTTTAAGAATTTTACTAGCAGGTATTTTGCAGATATCAGTTTCTATAATCTTCAGCCCTTACAAGGGCAGTTTCTGAATAGTGCTTCAGACCCAACACCCCCAAAAACCTTCCAACAAACCCGAAGTACACATCAGGTCTCCAAACATAAAACCACGTGTAAAAGCCTTACGTTTTCCATGTTGCAAACCTTGCCTTTCAAATCCTCAGAACAGAAAGGGAGACATTCAACACAGCAAGATGTGCCGAAATCTTTGGTAGTGCATTAAGCATTAACACAAACAGCAACTCTACCTTTCTGGCCAGCTCTAGTTCTTGCATAGTTTTCTGCAGATGTTTCTTTTCCTTCTGAAGTTGCATCTGAAGCTCCTCCATTTCTCGGAGAGCACCACTATGTTCCTGAAATTTAAATCCTTCTCAATTATGCCAGCCAATTTCAAAATAGATCAGCATCTATTTATGCACTTAGGTTGTACAGAGATAATTGATTACTTTTTTGTTTACTTTAGGAAATCGCCAGGAACCAAAGAAAACCCCAAATTATATAGTATTTTTTCACATTCTGTCATCCCCAGACTACTCCAAGTGGCAGCCTTGCAAAATTCTTTCAGTGAACAGATCAAGCCCTCAAAAAAAGACCGAGTCAAGTAACAAGAAGACAAAGTATAGAACTTGTTCTATAAAACCTACAGTTTACAATGGTCTAAGAAGAAGCCACATCCACTGAAAGCAATGCTTTAGCTCATGCACCATCTCTACAGAATACTACCTTTGTTTTCTGTTCTTTTAGAAGCTTTTCAGCTTCTAGTTCTTTGTCAGCCTTTGCCTTGGCTTTTTGTATCTCCAGTATCTGAGCTTCCAGCATCTTAGCATTATGTTGCAGTGTTTCAACACGAGCCAGGAGGTCTTCATTAGTGGAGCGTAACTGATCATGCTGAAATAACCATAGTGGAAAGATAAAAACGTAATCTGTCAAATTTCCATGCAAATTCAGCTAAGATATTGTCTATATTTAAAACACAAACTCTGATTTCTATGCAACTCCCTTACAAACAGCACTCCTGCAAGTGAGTCTTCTCCATCTAACTGTTTTAAACCATACTAAGAAACAGGCTAAATTAAAGTCACTAGCACAATTTGATTACTTCGTTCAGAGTCTCTATAATGCAGATTAAGAATTAAGTGAAATTAGCTCCTAATTACCTAACCAGTGTTTTTATTTACAACATACTTCATAACAAGCTTGAAAAATTCAAGGCCTGCATAATCAGCAAAATACATACCACTATTTGCCATTTCTTCCTATCCTATTCACTACTAGCTTCCATTTATGAGGAAATTGCGGTCTAGGTGGATCTTCAGTGTAATTATGTATGGGGCCTGGGATTTTAAATCCTAAATCCCATTATTTGTTGAAGTTAGCTTTACAAAAATGCATCTCACAGCTGCTTAATTACCATCTTAGACTCTTGCAAATGCCACTATAGCACTCTACAATGCATCCTGAAGTCTCATCCTTGTGAAAGATGCAGAAGACCATAATTAATTTAGTATGTTTAAACACACTGTTTATTAAACAACAAAACCATATTTTGTCTAAGAAACAGAAGGAAAAAAAACCCCAAACCAGTGAAACAGCTAAAGGTGCTGTACCTCATGAGAAGTGTATGTAGATGTGCAACCAGTGACAGAATGTAAGTTTGATACTTTTTTTTTTTTTAATATATCTGGTAGATGCAGCAGAATTGTATGGCCAAACCAAGCCAGAGGTGATCGCTTGCTCTTTTCTGTGAGTTGACCTGGGGTAAATTAAATCTTCTTATCGAAAAAGCCAGACATTCTAGATGTATTTACCTTTGTCACAGCCCAGACAAAATACCAGATGCTGAAAAACTAAAAACAAACCAAACAACCCAGACCCTGATTTTCAAGTCACTATTCAAAACACACTTAAGAGTACGAAACCATACATAGTAGCAATCACATACAGCACTGACCTGCTGGGATGACACCTGTAGCTGTCTTGTGAGGTCTTCTAGCTGATGTTCAAGATTATTTGCTCTGCCCTTTTCATAATCCAGCTGTTCTCCTTGCTTATCATATTCCATCAAAAGATTCTTAACACATACAAACACAAACCCATAATTTTTTACAATATACATTGCATAAGCATATTCTATACCACAGATGCTTACTTATCTTCCTAATATTTCAGCATATGAGTTGTCTTACAGTGTGCAACACTGGAATACCAGAATGAAATTAAAGCTATTATTTCTTCATAGGCTCTGGAGAAACCCTTTTCAGTTCATGAAATTCTAAAGTGATTCAGGTCAGAGAAGACCTCGGGAGGTCTACATTCAACCTCCTGCTTAAAGCAGAGTCAGTAGTGAGATCAAAACAGGTTGCTCAGAGCTTTCTTCAGTCCGGTCTTTCCTGCCTGGAAATGACCTGCCTCCAAGGATGGAGACGGCACTACCTATCTGGGCAACACCTTCCAAAGCTTGACCATCCTCATAGGGCAAAAATAAGATGATACATCCAGTTGGAATCTCTCATTTCAGTTTAGGACTACTATGTCTCATCTTGCACTACCATTAGTAACATGACTCTATTCCTTTGGTAATGTCTTTGTAGGTACTGGAAGGCTCCTATTAGGTCCCTCTCAAGTATTCTCTAGACTGAGCAATTTCTCAGCCTTGTACATCACTTATTCCAGTTCCTTAATCATGATGGATGTGTACTCCATAACTTTCTCCAGATCACTGCTGAAGTTAAACAGGGCAGGTCCCAGCACAGACCCCTTTGGTACCCCATTTGCTACTGGCATCTAGTACAAGCCATTAATTGCTACTCTCTAAGACAAACTATGCAACTGCTTTTTAAGCACCCATTCAGTTGTTTTCCCATTTAGATCATAAAGTCCTAGTGTGGATACTAGAGTACTGTGAGAGAGGATCAAAAGCCTTCCTGAAGCCAAGGTAAGTGAGAGGCCCTGTTCTTCTGCCATCCACAATTCCAACAGGCAATCAGATTAATCAAACACAATTTACTCTTGGTGAATCAATGCTGACTGTCCCTAGTGACCAACTTCTGCTTCATGTGCCCAGAGACATGCTTCAAGACTTGCTCCTGGGGAAGTTAGTTTATGTCTTTTTCACTCAAGGACTTCCTAACTGATCACAAATTCAACATACTCTGAAGAACTTATAAGGATTTATGTTTTGCCTCAGCAATATTATTTGATATGTATGATGCTAGATTTGAAAGGTTTAAAATACCATCCAATAGAAAGGAAGTGCCTTATTCCCTTCTGACAGCAGCCAAACAGTTCCGCTACTAGAACCTTACATTCTAGTCAACTGCACTAACACAATTTCTTTTGCCAAACATTCTTGTGCAAATAAATAGCAATATATATATATATATATATATACAGGCTAGGCTTCAAAAGCAAAGTTTTTTCTGTTAAATGTCTTTTGCAAATACAGTACTATTCTTACCTTATAGCTTTCAGCTCCTTGAATGACATCTTTCATTGAAGCAGACAACTGATCTTTTTCTGACCGAGCCAACTCCAATTCTTCCCTCAGAGTCTGCATCTTTTAAAAAAGAAAGGCGTGTCATTAAAACAGAACCCCACATGCAGAATGTTCTTCATATGAAGAAGCAGTCAGGGTACCTCTTTTCGGCTGGCATCTAATTCTTTCTTTGCTTTCACAGCAACAACCTTAATTTTATTTAGCTTCTCTCCTTTTTCTGCAGATTCTTTTTCAAGCCTTCCTAAAATAAATAAATGAGAAAGAGAAAAATATGCCTCTCACCTCTCCTCTCCCCCAAGAATTGAAATGAAATTCAATTAGAACATAAATACAAGCATGACTTGAAAATAAAATATAAAGCAGGACGAGATGTTTAGACATTTCATTCAGTTAAGCATTTAAATTTAAGCCAAAACATCCAGCCGCATAGACAGCCTGGGGACAATCTTTCCATGTTTCAGAGGCTTCCATCACACTTAATGTCAAGAGCCATATTCCTGTCTACTCTACATATAATTGTAACAGCTCAGAACCATTTCCTTTCTAATGTGTTGCGATAACTGCAACGAGGCAATAGCAGTTTCGGCAAAGCACTGCTTTCCTCTCTTCTTGGCAGCCTTAGGGATTCTTATTGACACAATTATTTCCCATATTTACACATTAAAATTAAATCCACTACACCATTTACAGCCATATGCACACTGGAAGAAAAGACCTTAAGAAATATAAAATCTAAGATGGCTAACAACATTTTAAATCCTTAATGGAAAGGATATTGTAAGAAATTGCATTGATTACCTACTTCTCACCTTCCTTGGCTGTAGGAAATACAGGACAGTTATGCAGAGAAACAAAAACTAACAATCCAAAACCCCAAACTGTTTACATGAAAGAGAACAGTGAGAAAGATACCAATTTTTTCCTGAAGCTCTGCTACTGAAGAGTTTTGATCAGTTTTCTCAGCCATTGTCTCCATTGAATTCTGTATTATAAACAAAAGATATTAGAAGTATTACAAAAATGTCTTTGTGATGTTTTTCCCCTAACAAGCCACCAGAAGTTTCAGCTACAGCTGGACTATATCTACATTCTTACTACCAAGAAACTCTTTATGTGTAATTTTGTATCAGCTTTGTAACTGAAAAGCATAATTATGATGAAAGGAAAACATTCCAACCTTTTAACAGCTGCTTTCCATCCTGTCCGAGGACAAAAAACAAAAAGGGAGACCACTAATTCTGCAGCTGTCAGTTTTACATAATCATCAATTCCCAGGACCTGACGTTAGGAGTAGGTAATGCAGATCAAGCAGGAGTTTTGTTTGAGATGGAACCACAGAAATTTAGAGGTGAAAGATTATGAGGTCGGTTAGTCCATCTAGTTAAATGATTACTGAGGGGTATTGATAGGAAGAGAGGTTGAAATACAAGCAGCTTTTGTCAACAGATCATTATGACTGCTTTGATTTTGTTCTTTATTCCTTGGGGGAAAGGAGGAGATTTTGACGTGCTAGGAAACTCAGAAACGTGTTATATTTATAGAAGAGAAACTCACTTTCAGGCCAAGGGAAGAAAAAAGAAAAAGAAGAAAAAGAGAATTGAAAGTATTTTTTGAACCTTAATTCTGAAGACTTTAGAGGTTTAGTCTGTATACTTCAATAACAAAATATAACCTTTAGAGAATTCAGTTCTTCTTTCACATTCCTAAGTTCAGTTTCCTTTTGTTCCAGAATGAAATTTAAGTTGTCTTGTTTCTCTGATCCTTTTTGCTGTTCTTGTATTTGACTTTCATAAAAAGCAAGTTTTTGAGTAAGCTCTTCGGTATTAGCTAAAAGATCTTGATTTTCAATCCTTGTTTTTTCACTGGCATTCTTCAGCTCCTGGAGATCACACTGAAGTGCTTCTTTTTCAGACAACACTTCTTCCAATTCTTCTTTCCAGAGTTCCTTTTCTTTTTCCAAATCCTGAATCAGGGATCTATGTTCTGCATACTGAGCTGCATTTTCTTCCTCTATCCTCTCAACTTCCCGCTGCAAATGAAGAACTTCCACCTCCTTCTGCAGAGCAAGGCACTGCTGCTCTTTTAGTTTGGACATGTATTCATTTGCAATTTCTAACAAGTTAAGAGAATCACACTCTTCACTGTAACCCGAAACACTGGACCCCACTTGCTCAAGTAAGTGGTACAGCTGAGTTCTCACAAGGGATCTGTGCTCTTGTTCACTTTCAAGTAATGTTGATACATGGTCTTTTTCTGTAGTCATCATTTGTAGTTTCTTTTCTAAGTTTTCAGAATGCTCTTTCAACACCAACCAACCATCTTTTTCAGAGGTAATCTTTTCCAGCTCTTTACTTAATTTGCCTTTTTCATCAGTTATTTTCTTATTTTCCTCACGAAGAGTATACACTTCAGATGAAAAGCTCTCTCTTTCACGCATCAGAGATTCAATCTGGTTTTCCAGTTGCTCTAGCATTTGAGCATTTTCATTCTTCCTAGTTAAAGCTTCGTTCAGTCTCTCTGTTAATTCTTCCACCTTTTTCTTCAGGTCAGTATTGTACTGGTTAGCAACATCTATTTCTTGCTGAAGTTCCTGAATTTTTCCTTGTTCTTGCTTGCACATTTCCTGAAGAGTTTTTCTCTCTTCACCCAAACATTTCACTTCATTTAAAATATTCTTGTTTTGATCAGTAAGAGAAATAATCTTCTTCTCCAGTTCTTTTATAGCAGTCTCTTTTTGGTCGATGGAGCTTGTTATTGTGTTATTCTCCTCCTGTAGACTAAGAATTTTACATTTAAGTTCTTCTATATCTGGCTGATTAGATGACAATTTTTCTATTTCTTCCCGGAGGTGATTCACAGTTTCAAGAAGAACATCCTTTTCATTGAAAGCAGCCCGGAGTTTCTGTTGCAGTTCACTCACATCAGAAGCTTGCTGTTGTCTCATTGATTCAAACTCCTGGCTGATCTTTCCAGCAGATTCTCCTAGTTCAGCCTGTAAAGTTTCCATTGTTTCTCTCAGGCTGTTGTAACTGGACACTGCTTCTTCCTTTTCCTGAGTTAGCTTTTCAAGTTGGTCTCTAAGTTCCTGCATTTCAAAAACTAATGCCATCTTTTCTTTTTCAGAACCAGATAATAAAGTTTCACTTAGTTCAGCAATTTCTCTCTTATGTTGTTCTTTCAGAGTATGAGTCTCTAACTTACGCTCTTTTACAGCAGTTTCACAGTGCTGTCTTGCTGCCTGAAGCTCCAATTTTAGTTTTTCAATTGTACAACAGTAGTCTTCTTTAGTAAGCTGCAATTCATTTATCTTAAAATCCAAGTCTTCCCTCTCACGAAAGTACTCATCCTTTATGTGGTGGATTTCCTCTTCCAGTTTTAGTTTAACATTACTCATGTAAGTTAACTCATCTTTTAATATACTATGTTGGGACTGGAGCTCTTCCAAACTACGCTCCAGCTGCCTAACCTTTTCTTCCATTGTTGCTTCTACACAAGGTTCTTCTTTTGTATCTACAAAGCCTACCTTATTTTCTACATTTTTATTTAAGACTTCTCTCAGCTGCTCCAAATCATATTCACGCTGATCAGTACTAGCACATATTTCATCCTTCGCATTTTTCTCTTTTATTAAGCCCTCCTCTGCCAAACTGTGTTGTAACTGATTTATCTGACTTTGCTTTTCTTCATTTTCTTTAGAGGCTATTTCAAGCTGATGCATCAATGTTGACACCTCTTCCTGATGGGCAATTTTAAATTTTTTAAGTTCTTCATTCAGAATTTTTATTTCATTATGGTAACACTCAGAGTTGCTTTTCACAGTTTCTTGCAGATTTGTCACTTCTTTGGTTTTGTCTTCATTCACAGTTTCCAACTGCTTGCTCAGACACAAAATTTGCTCCTCGTAAGTAGATTTAATTCTTTGGACATCATCTTGTAATCTTTTAACTTCTTTTTGACTATCATTAAGACATTCAATATGTTCCATCAGCCCTATTTGTTTCTTCACTTGTTCTTCTAATTCCATTTTTAGCTTTGCTAAATCTTCATTGTGTTTACATTGTGCATTTGCTAATTCGCTCTTCAGAGCTTTTATTTCTTCCAGAGAGTCAGTACTTGATTGCTCCAGTTGCTTCTGCAATTCTTCTGTCTTAGCCACGGCAGCCTAAACAAACGGGCAAGTTATTAAATACTGGTAATTTTGCACACAGAAGTCCTTAGTTTTAAAGACTGCTACAGTTTTCAAATATGTAACTACATTAGGACAACTCAATTCAGAAGACACTGCAGAGAGGACAAAAATGAATGAGAATGTAGAATGAGAAAGGAAAATTAAGTCTTAAATCATGCTTACCAGCATAACTTCACAAAATGGTCATGACAGACTTCAGCTTTAGCAACTATTCTGATAATGTATTAAAGACCAAATTGCTTTTAATGCACCAGATTCAAGTATCTGGAATATAACAGTGTTCATCAGTTGCAAGCAATTCACTCTTGACTTCATTATCAATTGAGATTACTGACATAATATAGATGCCTTGGCTGACAGGCTCCTTTCTGTGAATACCTGAATGTAAACCTTGTAATTCCCACAGAAAGACAGATCTGACTGATTGAAACTGTCATGTATGCAGACAACTAATATACAGACTGAATTCTTTTTGAACAGCTGTAGATCTAGCTGATGCATATAAATTTTTTAATATTTATACTCATTCCTTTAAAAACTATAAATTAAGAAATTTAGAAGATGGCCATTAACATATGAAGTCTTTAGGGTTTGTTTTTTTTTGGGGCGGGGTTAGGTTAAAAAGGCAAGTGAAGAAAAATATTAAAATGAAAGTGAAATACACAAGTAAAAATAAACAGTAAAAAGAAACATAATTCTGAAATGTTTTAATAATATTCTATTGCTTATTTCAGTACCTCTGCTTCTTGCTTTCTCTGAACATTTTCCTTTTTCAGAGCTATGCACTGCTGCTCAGTTTCAGCTTTTTCCAGAAGTACAACATCCAGTCTTTCTGTGAGAGCCTAATTTAAGGGAGAAAGATCACTTAAAAAAGAATTCCTAACACTGGAAGCTTGATAAATTTTTGCAAACTGCATGAACTCGCATATGCTTAAATGACTTTGTCGATTAAAAGAATGACTCTGATTTTAAAAATTACTTTCAGCCCAAATATCATAGAATCATAGAATACTTGGAGTTGGAAAGGACCTTAAGATCATCTAGTTCCAAACCCCCTGCTATGGGCAGGGGCACCTCACACTAAACCATGTCACCCAAGGCTCTGCCCAACCTGGCCTTCAACACCGCCAGGGATGGAGCATCTGCAACTTCCTTGGGCATCCCATTCCAGTGCCTCACCACCCTCACAATAAAGAACTTCCTCCTTACATCTAACCTTAACAGATCTAGAATAGCTAGGCTAACAATGATGTTGAATAACAGTTTCTGTTCAAAACTGTATTTCTTATCAGCTCATATTTTCACCGGGTGGTGGTGGGAGCTCCCCTTGTGTAGAAATCTCCATCCATATTATTAAAACCAATTTCCCAGTTGATAAATTCCTCCTTACTACCAATTTTTACTTTCAGATTTTGTCTATGACCCTTACTTTGAGAAAGACAGATGTTCTCGCCACTGTTACTTTTCTCCAAGTATTTCTTGTGACATGCAGCTTTAATTATGGGTTTCTGATCTCACTGAATGACTGTCTCAGGAGTTTTCTAAATGGCTGAAGTATTTCCACAGTGAACATTCTAAAACAAAAGCCTGTCTAAACAGCAACACAAGGAAAAAGTCTTGCTGAGAAAGTTGTACAATTCTGCACTATTCCTCACAAAATTGAGTGTTTTCTGAAAAGTGGAGAAAGAAGGAAAAAACAGGGTTTAGGAAGAGCCCTGAATTTCCAAAAATTTATCACATTCAACTGGAATAACAGTTTTAAAGCTACTTATTATTTACCAAATTATTTCTGTATATTTACTTCAGATAACATTGTGTAATGCATTAAAAATCCACCATGTATTCCTACCTGAATAATATCATCAGCTCCTCCAGTAGCTGCTTTAGATCTGAGCTCTTCAATTTCTTTCTCTAGTTCTTAAAAAAATAAAAAAAGCATAGAAATTTCACAGCATGAACTGATGCTCCTTCACAGTAGCAAATTAAATGTAAATCCAGTGCCTAACGATGCTCCTATTCAAATCAGAAACATCTTTTATTTAATCAATTTTTGGCTTTTGTCTTTTTTTTTTTTACTGAGTGATAGAAGGGGCTAATGGAAAGAGACTACTGCTTCTCAGGTCTTGACATTTAGCATGGTTTCCTAAGGAAGCAGGACTTCCTTGTTTGGGTAGAGGCACAAAAGATAGAAATCAGTCTGATAACACTCTTGCCTTCTATTTCATGATCAGTTTAAGCCAGAGAAAAGATATTCAGTTCCTACTGGCTCTCTATAAATAGGCAGCAGGCAGAAGAACAAGACCTTATGAATAACCCCATTCAGGAAAGGCCTACTATAGCCCAACCTATCCTTACTGTTTCACTGCGAAGCTACCAACAGTCAGCATAACTGTAACTCCAAACAAGGGGAAGTGACACAGGGAAAGTCTAAATAATGGACCACTAAACAAAAAGGGATGGCAGAGAAGAGAAGAACAGTACATGAGAGCACAGATCTACACAGGATAGTTTTAGTTGGTTAACACAAAATTTTGTGTGATACTTGTACAATTTCTTGTTAAAGCAGTAAATGATCAAATAGAATGTAGTTAACCATTTTAAAGAAACCATTTTACTCTACAACAGTACTAATTATGCAAAAATCTGTCAGAGACATTCCCCCTCCCATCTGCTTTCTGAAAAGCAATAGGTATCCCTGCAACTGATATGTGGAACAGACAATGACAAGTGCCATTTCAACTCTCGCACAAACTATGTTGTTCCATCATGCCACACTGCCAGATCAGGATTAATTTAATACTTGACAAAAGCAATGCTTCTTTTTCTTCCCTTCCTTGCTTAAAGGACTTCAGTCCTTACCCTCCCACAAAAAAATAATGAAATTAGCATTTAAATCTACCTAGCAAAAATATGCATTGATATTTGAAAAGGTCTGTTATTATCAAGCATTAAGGCAGAAACTGTTTTCTTCCCATTAAGGTACCTGTACACCTTGACTTCACTTTCTGTATAAGCATCACTTGCTTTTTTGCAAACTTGATAAGATCTTCTTTGGGTAATGTGTCCAGCTGTAAAAAACGAAGTATTAGAGAAACCAGCTTCCTCTAATCTAGAGATAAACAGAAAGCAGGGCATTTTAGCATTCAACTCCAAGAAGCTAAATTTTAGGACAAGAAACTGTCTTAGCACACATTTGAAAGAACAGTCCAAGTTACTGCTGTTCTGTTATCAAATTTTGTTATTTCAAGAGCAGTAAGAGAAACTACCTCTAACACTGTACTTTTCAAAACTCATTCTAGAACACAGAAGTGGGCAGCATCAGTTAGACAAGGAAACTCACTTGGGAAGGGTTACAATTCAGTAATATACTTTAAACAATGTTTTGAAAGCAGCATGCTGTAACATTAACAGGCACATGAAACAGACTGTTGCCAAAACTGCATGCTACTGATACTTTATAAAATATTGTAACAGGAAGAGGACATATCAATAAGAGAATTTTCTTCCCCCATATATTTTTCAAAACACCTTTGCCTAGTGTTTATAACTCTTTTTTTTTTTTTTTTTTTCCCAAGAAGTCCAGAAAACAGTTTAAAAATACCTTTATGTCTTCCCATTAGTCACAGCTTGCAGGCTAAGCTGGAACCCTTTCAATTACTGCTATTCAAATAAATGACATTTGTGAAGGCTGATTACCTTTGATTTGCCTGATCCTGGTGTGACAGAAGATGCCACCATCTCTTGCCCAGCATCTGGAACCTGTAACAAATTAAAGCACTATGGTCGATGACTGAACTTTTGAAATGTAAGATTACTGAAAGAACTGAAAGCTGCAAACAGCAAGAATAACCGAATATAATGAGAGCTTGAAAAAAAAAAACCAAAACAACATATTTGCAGGTCTAGTCAGAAGGATAATGTAAAAAAAAAAAAAAGAAATCTGATAGACATATATCATGATTAGTACAACAGCAGACTAGAAAACTACTGATTTCCAAACCAGTATGATCTGACGATTCCATTACCAAACTGACATCTACAGTTGATACACTACTCAAAAAGCATTCTATTTACAAGAGGTTACAAAGGCATGACTCACTATCTTGTTCTTAAAAGACTCATTAAAAAAAGGCATGAATAGAAAAAGCATGTAGAGGAGCAGCAGTTAAGTCAAACTTTGGGAACCTTTCATCCATATATACCACTCAACTTCTTTTTCTTTCTTAAACACACATACACTAGTTATCACTAAAATTGTTAGCCTAAAGAACAGAATTGAAAAGACTCTGCAAAGTTCAGGCCCTTTTGAACAAAATATAACACAACTCTCCCACATGCACTATTTTTCCTTAGAAAACCACACTGGTTAACTCTAGAAGTCCTGGCCTGACACATATTTGAAAAGGCTCTGTAAATTCTGGGCTCCTTATTCCTAACATACATGCATAATGCATTCTACTGTAAACTTCCACAGATCTAATCTGGGAGACTATGTTACTTTACAGTGGTTTATAAGAGATATGCTTATCTATATGCAGGATCATGAAGAAAGACATGTAACAGAGATGGGGCAAAGGAAAATGGGACAGACACTTCCAATATATTAAGTGTAGCATTTCCAAGCTCTGACCTTTACACTGCTTTTTCCTTTCTACTAGCCTGTGTGCGTATGCCTGAATAAAAGTGAAGGGGTGTACATATAATTATTTGTGGATTTATATAGCTAGGTGTTTGCATTTATATAGCTGGGTATGTATACATACATACCTTCAATTTATTTGGCTACTCTCTTTATTCTGACAAAATCTCATCTTATAACAGAAGCTGGATCTAAACACTGATAGAATGGAGAATCACTAACAACTTAGAGAGAACAGCTGATACAGATAATAAGAAAGGTCATCAGAAATATGAGTTCAGGTACAGACCAAGGCAGTTACAGTTTTCTCTCTCTGTATCACATTGGCTTGAAGTTGGTTTTTTTTTTGAGATGGCAAAAGAAACTTACTAGAAAATAACGTACCTGTTAAACATAAATACTGCATTAAAAAAAACACCTATATAATTTAAGTTTCAGATTTCATTGGTATGCAAAACTGTGTTAACATTTACATCCGTAATGTTTCAGCACTGCAGTTAGTAAAACAGTCCCTACAACCAGTATGCTTCTACAGTGTAATTAAGTATAACAAATTGTACGTACTGTTTAGAAAATGATAGCATGTGTCTCTTCATGCTACAGTTCAGTCAGATGGATCTACACATTACTTTTACTCTTCTTTAAGCTAATATATAGAAGGGTAGAACTATGTATCATGTAATACAATACATCCAGTTTTGCTGTTCAGGTAACATAAACCGTAAGAAGCTTGTAGAATGTAAAGGGCTTCACCCATCTGAATTGAATAACAACGAGGAAGATGAGTTAATACAAAAATCCTAATATCTTCATTGATTAGATGCATCTGCGATGTGAGTCAGCAGATAGTAGGCACACTTCTAAGTACTGAATCCTGCAAGTTTTCATTCAACCATCTTGAAATCAAGGCATGCTCCCATGCTTTACCAATACATATATACGTACATATATATACACACACACATTTAATTTAAAACCTACTTTATCTACACTAAGGTGTTTCTAAGCCAGTTTATCATGTTCTGTGTATTTTAACTGCTATCCACCATTTACTTTTGCAATAGCTTAACATACTCCTAGAAAGCCTAACAGATACATAAATGCAATATATTAGACTTTGATGCAAACTGTGGCAGTAAGGACCATTACAAACACTGACTTTCTGAGCAGCATGCAACTTTTAGACACCACCAACTCTACTCATACCAAGTAACATCAAAACACCTTTTGAGTTATTACTTCAGCCAGCGGAGGAGTTAAACCTCTATTAGAGTGCATGCAGCTCAGAAACCACCACAGAATTATAGAATCACAGAACGGTTTGGGTTGGAAGGGACCTTAAAGCTCATCTAGCTCCACCCCCCCTGCCATGGGCAGGGATACCTTCCACTAAACCAAATTGCTCAAAGGCCCGTTCAGTCTGGCCTTGAACACTGCCAGAGATGGAGCATCCACAGCTTCTCTGGGAAACCTGTGCCAGTGTCTCACCATCCAGGTGAGTTACTTTCATGTAGGTGTTTCAACCTCTTCAAGGCTGCCTTTGGATTCGCCTTGGTGTTTACTAGATACACATACTTCGGTAATTTTACTTGCTTGTGTTGGGAGGCATTTCATAGTTGACATACTGTGAACACATGAGATCATCTCAGCAGAAAAGGAACGCTTACTGACCCGTGGGTACTTTTAAAGAGCAACCACGCAACACACTGACTGTCATCCGAGTGTTTTTTCCTGTGACTAGGCACCGGCTGATCTCCGCCAGCCGTGCCAACAGGATGACATGCCCACCTCCTTCCCCGAGGCACTAACCAAGCCCTGGAGCCCGCACCAGCGCCCACACTGCCGCAGGGCCGGGATCAGAGCGCCCATTCCCACCCACATCCCCTGTGCAGGCGGGCCGCCCATCGTACCCTCCCTCAGCGCAGCCGCCCAACGGGGCTGCACCGCGCCGCGGGCAGGCGCGGAGAGGCGCTGACCCCGCGCCAACGGCCGCCGCTGGAGGGCTGCGCACGAACGGGGGTGCGGGGAGGACGGAGAGCCTGGCGCACACCTACCGCGTACTGCAGCCCAAGGTCGTGCGTCCCCCGCCCCCCTTCCTCAGCTACCGACTCCCCCCCTCCTTCCTCATCCTCGCCTGCCGCCCTTTTACCTCCATGGCGGGGCCGCTCGGCTGCAGGGGCGGGGAGAGCGCGGCGGCGGCACCGCAGCCGCTGTCAGCACCGCTACATCTTCCCCGACCCACTTCCGCCTCCGTCATCCCCGCACGCCACGCCAGTAACGCAGCGCCGAGCCGGTGGGCGGTCAGGGAACGTCCGTCACCTGAGCCCCGCCTCCTACCCACCCCGGCCCGCCTACTGCTGCGAGGCGGTGTAACGGGGAGGGGTGGGAGGGGGCCGCCACGTGGGGCAGCGATACCGGGCCCGTACTGCGTGGCACGGGTTGTACTGCAGGCGGGCCGCCTCGGAGGCTAACCCGACTGGCCCGAGCCAGGGGGTGCAGGCGGCGCTGGCAGCAGCACGCTCTCCGTCTAGTGATAGCGGCAGAAGGGAAGGGGTACGACTGCAGCGCGGCCGCCACCGCCATTTCCCCTGCTGATGGGCTCCTGGGGGTACGAGCTGCTGCGAGGGCACCTGAGAATGCGGGGAGCGTGTTAGGAGGCACGTGTGTCTCACTCTCACCGTGAGGAGGTGAACAGCTGTGTGCGCCCGCAGGCACGGGTGGATTGAAGACCCTGTTTTTAATATCTTCATGGAAGCACAGGGTGATTAAGTTATTGAGGTTATAATATTATGCTAGGACAAGGGGTAATGGATTAAAACTAAAACAGGGGATGTGTAGGTTAGATATGAGGAAGAAGTTCTTTACTGTAAGGGTGGTGAGGCACTGGAATGGGTTGCCCAGGGAAGCTGTGCGTGCTCCATCCCTGACAAGGATGGAGTGCTGGACAGAGCCTTGGGTGACACGGTTTACTGTGAGGTGTCCCTGCCTATGGCGGGGGGGTGGAACTAGATGATCTTAAGGTCCTTTCCAACCCAAACTGTTCTATGATTCTATGATTTAGTATCTGAAGGGGGCCTACAAGGATGCCAGGGAGGGACTTTTCATCAGGGACTGTAGCAATAGGACAAGGGGCAGTGGGTTCAAACTCAAATAGGGGAGATTTAGTTTAACTATAAGGAAGAAGTTCTTTAGTGTGGGGGTGGTGAGGCACTGGAACAGGTTGCCCAAAGCGGTAAATGCTCCCTCCCTGACAGTGTTCAGGGCCAGGCTTAACGGGGCTTTGAGCAACCTGGTCTAATGGAAGGTGTCCCAGCCCATGGCAAGGGGTTGGAACTAGATGAGCTTTAAGGTCTGTTCCAAGTTAAACTATTCTGTGATTCTGTTTATCAAACATTGCGTGTGAAAGACTACCAGAATAAGCAGCATAAGCCAAGTATAATGGCTTGTAGTTCATTTTTTGTAAAAGACACTTTTATGACCATTTAGGTAGGTGTTCATTACCTATTTTAAAGTGCATACGTCTTTTATTGTAGTCATGCATACACTTTGGTAGTGCCTGAGTTATTTTTGGCATGTCATGGTAAGTAATTGCCTTTTAATGAGAAGTTGCCTGGGAAAAACAATATAGGTCTATTATTCTATTTACAGTTCACTGGATAAATACCGAATAGCATGAAATGAAGTGTGGTGTCATGAGACAGTTTTATTTTAATAAAAAAAGAATCATGTTAGTCAAAATGCTGCTCTTGGGGAAAAGTAATTTGCATTTTTCCAAGTCCGCTTATTGTCATTCTTTTTTAAAAATTCAAATAGCAAATAGTGACAAAAGGCAGAGTTCTTCACACACACCTCAGAAATGATTTCCTTGTCTTTCTTTTTCTTTCCTCCAATGCATTCATTGTATATTATATATGTGGGTTTTTCTACTGTAATCTATGCAGGTACACAACTGCAGCAGGAGCATATGGTTCCATCTCTCACAGAGGTTGCTGACAAGAAACAGATCTCCCTAAACAAACCACAAGAAGCTGTTTTTCCATTACTTTTATCTATTATTGTACTTTTTAGAAGCCCCACAGGGCACTAAACTGTTGAATTCTTTCTTTCCCCATCTGCTTTGGGAGACTGAACTGGGTACCTACGCCTGTGCTGCTGTGGTCTAACCATGGGGGTTTTACACAACTTCAAGAAGAGCCCTTCTAGATACAGACCTTCCAAAACCACCCTGTAGCAAAAGCTTTTGACATTGAGCTCTGCTATACTGCACAGCTCTGTCCCTCCAGGTCAGCCCCAGCTGAAGCTGGGTGTTGGGGAGAGCACTGCAGGAAAGGTTACCTTCTCTTTTGGAAAACTCCAGAGAAAAAAGGTTTCATGTAAACTTGCTCCTTCTGTCAGTCCTCAGAAAATGTATTACGATCCAACTCTTGAGTCATCTCTTGACTTAGCCTGCAAGGAAATTGATTTTGGAGATTGTCCAAGGCAGACACATAAAGGTCTTCAGATGTGTTTGTGATGAAGACAGTCAACTACTGTCTCACTCACTGCAGGCTTTCTAAAACTGATCCTGGCTAGGGAGCAATAAGCCCCGGCCCCCAGAGCTCCCTACTTCTGTGAGACAGGTATTTGACAGAGACAGGCCAGTTCTCCCTTCACATCCCCTTCATTTTGTGCAATAGAATTACAATTGTTGTAAAAGGTTGTTTTGATAGTCTTTCATTCTGGTCCTGAATTGCAACAGCAATTGCAAATTATCCTGGCTAGGGAATGGTAGAAGAATTGAAAAGGTTTCTAGAATAAATAGAAGGAAAAAGATTGAGAATTTTGATAGTTGATTGTTTCAGTTCGTTACATTGTATAGTACAAGTTTCTCCATATTTTGTGGGGAAAAATACCAGTTCATACCAGCAATAGTCTTGCATGATTCTCTTAAACAGTTCAAGAATTGTATGTCTCACCTATCCAGAAGGAGCCAGTAAATTAATATAAGTACTCCATGCAGCTAATTTGAGACAAGATGAGGGAGAAAAACAAGAATAATTTATATGCTTCTTATACTCCATTATTTTATTATCTTTGTAAAAGATAATTAGTTAATCTTTTTAAGTATAATTTTTTTATGTAAAACAAGATTGCCAAGATGTTTATGAGATCTGTTGAGGCAGAGCATAGCAAATGTTAAATCCTGCTTTCATTGAGAAGCCAAGTCCTACAGTGCTGTAATTAGCCCTTACATCAAGGCAGGGTGCAAATGCTTGTTCACTGTCATTGGAATTATTAGACCTGCAAGAATATTCTGAAGAGCACAGAATGAGAAAATTACTGTAATTTTGCAACTGAGGAATGTGTTTCCAGCATACAAGTGCTGATGTTTTAAATACTTGCCGCTGTAGAATCTGCCTTTACAGCAGGTTCTGAAGATCACAAACTCTCTTGCTTGTGAGCCATGCTGGGCCAGTCAGCATTCTTGCTTTGAGCTACTTTTATGGCTTTTCTGCATGCCAAATTAGTATAAAGAAAAGCAGGATATGAATTTACAGTATTAACTATTCTTCTAAGTTTGTAAACTTAAAGGATTCCCCTTGCCTCATGCAAATGAACCATAAATTATTTGGCTGAGAGTGCCCATTTTGTTGGGTTGGGTTCAGGTTCAGTAGGTTCCCACTGGAGTGGAATGGTAAAGCCTACAGGAACAGTGAAAAGGTTAAGAAAGTGTAAAAGGGGAGGCTAATCCAAATGTTTATATGAGTAAATAAGATGCAAGGGCAATACTGTCCTTTGCATTTATCTTGATGCTACTATGTGTGTTAAGTATTTGATTAGGTATTAAAAAAAAGAAATTGTGTATTTAGTCCTTAATTCTGCTCTTCAAACGCTATAGGAAACACCGGTAAGAGGTTTGGTGTTCTATTACTCATCCACAAAGCCCACCAAGCCTGTTGAAAGATTGTGTAAAACTAAAACCAGGAAATTAACATTTTGTTTGAGCACTTCAGGTTGGGTCTGGCTATAAAAGACTGTTCCATTGTTAACGTAAAAGCCCTTTTAACCACACACAGAGATAGTAGCAAATACAGATGAATGAAGGTTATGGTACAATAACAAGTTACTGTGAATCAAGAGGCCTAATTTTAACAAGCAAACAAAATTAGTTACCTTCATTTTTGAATGGGTAACCTAAGATTCTACCTATACTTATATTGCCTGGACAAAGCAGGACCCAGTGTTAACATAATCCCTCTGTCTCCATGGTAATGGTAGACGGTTATAATTCAACTGGGAGCCTTCACACAGTCCTAAAGGCAGTCTGAGCTCACAGTGCTGATAAATACCAACTGCCCTTGCAAAATAATCTGTGAGTAATTTGCCTCTTCAATATTAACCATGGGACACTGCTGTGTGACAACATTCCTGATCCACCTGCACAGTGCCTAAGACTGTGCTTGGTCTGGAGGGCAGCAGAGCCTTGTTATCCAGCCTAAGCCCATGGCTTTAGGTCTGGTAGCACAGTTTGGTTGCATCCTATGAGTATGAAGGGCTTAACTTGCTCAATGTGCCTCTAGGCTCACCTACAGCCTACGCTGACAGGGCTTCCATTACTCATTGAGGATGTGATGGAAATGGAAGCTTCAGTACAGGCTTAAGATACAGTGTTAACGCACCTCAGGAAAGTGCCAGAATTAATTACTAACCTTGCGAAGATAAGGCTCTTTGTGAATATGTTGACATAAATCGTAAAAACTATACAATGTATATATTATAGGTGTATATGTTTAGGACAAATTAAATAAAAACTACTTCCTGTCCACAGTCTCTTACCTAACTGGAGAAACAGATTGTCTATGGTAAACGTAGTTGAAAGGAAAGCAGTGTCTCTCTGTCTTTGAATGCTAGCTAAGAAGATTGGAACAGCTCCCTTCTTTTTCTCCTTCTTTAATTTTTTGAAGCTTGCTTCTTCTTTCCTTCTGTTTCTTAAATGTCTGCATTCCAGATGGAAGTAAAATGGCTCCCCTAGTTGCTATTGACAGTCAAGCTAAAGAGTGGTCATGACTACCCTAGAAATGATAACAGGAGTTCCTGTTCAATCTGTATCGAGGCAGGAATCTTCAGTTGTTCCTTGGGTGGATTTGTTTTGATAGCTGTTAATGCACAGCTACAGAACAGAACCATGTGGACGGTTAATATTTATTAAGCAACACTGTTTTTCAAACATTTGTTAGACATGAGTGACAAAGTTTCTCTGCTATCAGAACTCTGTGGGTGCACTTTCATGGAAGAAACAAGCGACACTGAAGAAGTTGCTGTGGGATCGCATTGGACTGACACAAGTCCTTTTTTATCTGACATAGAAGTTGCATCTGTGTAAGAAAGTTAGTAAAATCATGCACCTAGGTAACTGGATGAAAATAAAACATAGGTGTATATTCAGGATATATGTCAACTACAGTTCTATACAGAGCTCTGTCGCCATAAAGAGAGTCACTTGTTTCCACCAGAAGCTTGTCAGTAGTTTAAAATGTAGTTTAAAATCTGCCTGAATAAGTACACTCTCCTTCTGCAGATGCTCATGGATTTACAGTATCTTGTGTAAAATAAACTAAACCTCTTACCAATGTATGTTGGTATTAGTAAACAATCTCTGTATACAAACACATCCTCTAAAGCTCTTCTGTACATAACTGACAAATGATATGTAAGTTAAGGGTGCTGTAGCTGTAGGCTCGTGTCATACCCAGAAGCATGTTGTCAATAATAAACTAAAACCAGGGTAGTCTCCAGGCCTATCGGAGGATGTATGCAGCTGTTAACCCCTTTCCCAAACTTTCTTAGTAAGTACAGATGCAATCATTTTCACTGGTAACAATTCAGTGTTCCCTGTTTTACTCTGATACAATCAATAACATCTTGCAAATTATGACTGAATCCACAGGTTGATCTCTCTCAGCTATGGTGGCTTGAGAAGGCATAAAAAGTGGAAACATCCCACATTTCTATCCTTCTGCAAGCTATATTTTGTCATAAAGGTTAACATTTCCACCTTTGAATATATATTAGGATATCAACAGGATAAGAAAAGCCATTTTTTTTTATGTAGCCACACATCTAGTGGTTTTTGCCCCCCCTTTTTTAATAGGACTGCACTCTGACCTGTGCTACTTTTTATCTGTTTTTCAGAGCAGCTGAACTGCAGCTGTATGAAGCATTACTTAAGGAAGTGAGAGCAAAGGTGACTTCCCCAATGTGATTCCCTTACTCTATGAAGCCTCTAGCCTTGCAGTGGCTGTGCAGCTCCCTTTCAGACTAGGCTTCAGCCACCATCAGCATTTTGCAGTTCTGATAGGTTCAGCAATTTCAAAGGAGGAGCAAATAGGTTATCTGTGTGACCTTTTGTGCAGCACCACTCATAAAATGTCAGCAAGCTAGTGAGTTAAGTGTGTTTTCCATTTACTGATGTCTCTTATGACACTGAGTGAAGAGGGTTGGATTGACACACTGATGTGACTCATGGTTTCATGGAGCAACCCAAGAGCAGGCAACGCCTTTTCCTCATACTGGCAATAGTAAGATAGCATATCAAGTTAATCATAAACAAAAAGCAAACAAGCAGCAGAAAGCTCCCCAGGCTGATATTTAGCCTTCCTGTGATGAATAGCAGTACTTCTGCCAGATAATTTTTTTTTCTCAGGCAGTCAATTTACTGAGACATCCTTTTTTTTTTGTGTGCAGGAATTTCTGTTGACCTAAAGCCCTTCAAATGCCTGCCTTTGCACTAGTGTAGCAAATGTATGTTTCTGGTCTCAGTGTTTCCCGCATTTTGGGGGAAACTCGGTGGGCCAGGAACTGACAGTGTAGCTTCTATGTTTAGTAGGAAGCCTTCCATTTGTTTTCAAACTTGATGCAAGATACTGCTGCCCTTTAGAGAACTGCATTAATTTTAGACATTATGAAATAGGTAGCCTGAAATGGACTGTGCATGTTGACAGCTGCTCCTCTTACTAAATGCTTGGAACTCACCACAGGCCAAAGAGAAAGTACTCCCAGCAAACATTTTCTCTGTTAAACTAGACTGAACTAGACTAAATGAGACTAGGACAGTATTTTCCTCCAGCTTCTGTAGTCTATGTTGTTTTCCCTCTGACATACAGAGTAATTAAATGGGCTACAAGTCACTTCAGTTAATTTCCCACAAGCTTAAAGGAAGTAATGGGTGTTCGGTGGTTTTGGAAATGTTGCTTTCATCTCAATGGAGTTTATGATATCTGGCCTAAAATGAGAGAAGAAGAAAAGAGTTTACTTTATGTGCTCGTGTTTATACTTGACCACTTTTAAATTTGTTTATTGTTACTTATTGATCAACATTTGTACAACATGTGAATAACGTATAATACCACACCTGCTGCACTCTTTTGACACCTTCTTTCCCATTGGTTCCTAATTTCTGTTAGAAGTTGACTTGAAAATGCCAGCAATATCACCTACAGTTTTAGAAAGACAAAATCTCAAAGCACGTCTGAAATATTTTTGTCCATGCTGAAAGGTACTGTGGGGGGGGATGAATGAGAAATATCCAGGAGAGTTATTTTCTTCAGGGAAACCTAAACCTCCTCATAATTTTTACACTTCATGATAATGAAAAATCAGTAATGTGTGAAAGAGGGACATTAAATTCCTAGGGACACAGGAATTTTGTGAAGGAAAAGCAAAATATATAAAATGGAGCAGGCTGAAGATCGCAGAGGGTAATTCTCATGCTAATAATCACAATTACATGTTAAAACTAAGAAAGTTATCAACCATTTTCTTCTTATAAGCATCAAATTTCTTACGCTATGGCACAATGAAATAATTCTTCCAGTCCCTGACAATCCCTAGAAACAGCAAAGCAAAAAAAGAGAAAATATTAATTTCCCAGTATTTCCTGAAGCCCATTAGCCATGATTCGCTAGATACTTGTACTTCAAGGCTTATTTCAAAACAGAATGACAACCAGGAAGACACAGTCAATGACAGTAACAAACCTCAGTACCTTGTCTCATGAACGGTGAAACAAAGAGATGCATTATTCCTTGAAACTCTGTAGTATAGTTTGGCGTAGGATTTTCCTTCATTATTGGAAATGAGGTGTTACGGGCTATCTTGTTTAGAACTTCCTGATTCACGTTCTTCTCCAGGAACTTCAGAATCTTCTGAATTTCTTTCTTTGGATTCTGCAGAGAGAATAAAGGAGGATTAAGATACTGAGACAGGTAAAACAAAGAAATCAAGCATAGTGTTAAATTTGCAGTTGTCAGGGTGAGAAGATCAGGTTATTGGAAGATTTACTGATGCGGCTGGGATTATAACAGAAAACTGTTGATTGTAGGTGGAATCTACTGCAATTCCAGATTTTGGAGCTCTAAACATACTTTCAGCCTTTTATCTCCTTCTTGTCTTCATGGAAGAGGTAGAGAATATGATGCTTATCTTTTGCCTCCCACCATCCTTTTACATGGTCATACCATGGATCTCAGAGCACTGAAAATGAGGAACAGCAGGAGGTATAAATGCCCAAAGTGACTTTAAGTGTCTATGGCACTCATGTTTCCCTCATAACCAGTGTCTGGGCATCTTTCAGCTGGTTCTGAATTGCTGTGGCCATGACTGCTATGCTCTGTGCTTATCACAGCACTCATATTATTAATCCCTTGGGTGTATGGATGCTCAGAGCAGGATTCATGTGTAAATTTAAAAGGAAACAAATGCAGATACTTAACCCTGAATGAAAAATCCAGGCTGCCTTTACGGCTGATTGGGAGAAACAGACATTTCCAGAGTGATTCATCTGATCAGCTGAACAAGACCAGTCTTAATTTGCCCTGCTTTGAGCTGGGGTTTTGGACCAGAATGGAAACCAAAGATCCCTTCCAACTTGCATTATTCAGTGATTCTAACTAGTTTAAATCTTTGCTATACAATCAGAAGTGCTCCTTTCTCTGCCGCAAGTATAGAGATGACTAGCTTGGGCAGAGGTAGCTATGTTCTAGATGTCTGCACTCAGACAAATGGCTCCCAAGATGAGCTGATCAGACAAGAAGATACAAGGTCTTTAGATATGAGACTCTCATCTTGTGCTGGTCCAGACAGTGGTGTTGCTAGGACTACATGGTAGCAAAAAATATTAAGGACCTATGGAAGCTTTCCTGACCCAAATCGCAAACTGCCATCTGCCTGAGCAGATTTTCTCTCTTGGATATGTGCACCTCTTTCAAGAAGGGAAGAATCGGCTTTGGGGTTGCCAGCCTTTAGTTTTATAACTGGCTTTGTTCAGATGCCTGATATTTACACAGGTGAATTTAGGCAAAAAGGCTTCTTTATCTCAATTTCACTGAATAAATTTCCACAGAATTCCACCCTTTGGTGGAATCCCCATACAGGCGATGACTTTCCTGCCGCAACTAACATCATAGACACAGGGGGTCCTAGCAGAGGGGCTGGGTGATTGTTCTGGTTTCAGCAAGTCAGTGAATTGGTTCAGCATTCCCTTTATGATTTCAGGAAAGGTTTCCAAAGAATCAGGAAACAAACCAAGAAATCAAGAAGACTGCTTGACTGGCTTTAAGCCAGTCGTTTGATCTTTTTCTGGCTTTGACATCAGGTTTTAATTCCAAAGGCTGGCAATGACAGAACTAACAAATAGCACAGAATAAGCAGAAAATATATGGTTAAGATATAATTATTTCTTCTTCTGCTTGTGTTATTGTTTTGTTTGTTTTTTTGTTGGTTTGTTGTTTTTATGTGACCATTGCTTCCAAGTTCTGTCGTGGGAGGATTTGCTGTTTTCCTCTTTGTGTTAAGCCTGTGACAATTCTGTTTGTCCTTCTCATATCTACACCTGGAAGTTCATTTGCTAGTTTGAAAATGGTATTCATTCCCCTTACGATTATGCAACCATCCTGATAATGCAGTAATCCCCAGAGCACATCAGCTGGTGTGTCTGAACAAAGAAAAAACAAAGAGCTGCTTATCAACTGGCTCTCTTTTGTTGTAGTTGTGAATCTGAGTAGCTTATGAACAGTGCACTGTGCCAGATAAGCTGGAGTGAGGTTGAAACCCACTGCCTGTAGCTTTAAAACTGCTTTTGAAGCATGCAATGGGATGATGCATTTGTCCTGTTGTGAAACAGGGAGGTGAGAGTTGAACTGGCTGGCCCAGGGACTGGGTTTCTGGTCTGAGATCATGGTTTACTGGGCCACTCAAAAAAAAAGAACAGGCACTCTCTGCAAAGAGCTTCCTCCAAGTTTCCGTTAACCTTTTCCTGAGTGCAAACTGCTGGCCAGTGTTTCCTCATGTAAAACATGCTGTGTTTATTGTATTTTATTGTATTGTATTGTATTTTGTTTATTAATGCATCCTGCTGCTATGTTTCATGGCTATCCATGGTCACACCATGCTGTTCTTGACATTAATATGGCTACTTGTATGAATGAGCGTAAATACTTGAATGTTACTGACTAGAACATCTGAAAGGAGTTAAGCAAAGGTAAACAGCACTACAGTAGAGTCAAAACTTGAAGAAAGCAGACGAATAATGACACAGTTTTCTTCTGTTAGCTTCCAGACTCTGGAGTTGGGTCTGTGTTGGTTTTTTGCTGTTCTTAAGTGAGATCACCTTTAAAATAGCTTCTTTCATTCCTATTAAATCAGGTTTAGGTTTTCTAGCTTGAAAAACAATGCAAAGGGATTATCTAAGAAATAAAATGTTTCCGCTTACTGTTTGACACTTTCACTTTAAAAAAAATCATTAGTAGAATATTCCTTATTGAAGATAATTCTTTGTTGAGTTTTCTGGCAAAAAGTTCTATTTTCTATCTTTTTGGATATTAATGGAAAGCCTTAATATTTGTGTATTAACTCTTTTTTTTTTTTTTCTCGCTGCAATGAGTGTTTCAGGGGTCATTTGTATATAGCGAAAGAACATTTGAAAGAAGTGGGAAACTCAAAAACTCACCGAATGAATTACATCAGATTTTTAAAATACCTGACAGAAATTTGTCTTGGACAAGAAATCTCTCAGGCTAGAGGACATGACTAACAAATGATTTAAAGGCATGGAAGGCTGTTTTGTTCTAATTTTTATGTTGGATTTGACTATTTTTGCATTTAAAATTTAATCAAGAATCACAGTAGGACTTTCAAATCATGTTAGAAAAAGTGTGTTTGTTACTTGCGCAGGATCAGACTTGAAGTGGATGAAGGCTACAAATCCTACATCAGTGTCAAGCACTATATTATGATTTTTAATCTGTTTTTGCCTATATTTAGCTATCTATATTATCTAGGGTGTTATGTCTTATAAATTAAAATCTATATTGAAATCTGTAGCTATACATTTGAGTGAAAGAATTTTCTTCCTTGTTATGCTTAGTGTTTGTATGACATTTCTCTAAAACTCCCGTTTCCTTCTGCTAGACAAAACACAGTCCTTCTTGCAAAAGCTGTTAAATACACTCGAAAGCTGTTCAAATCCTTAGATACTAACCTGTATTTCTCGTTTAGAAAAATGCATATACTCTGGAGAAACAAAAGAACAGTCTGGACAGGCCAAGGTTTCACTTTCAGGCTTGTTGAATTTTAAAGCTGGTTGTCTGGATTCATCTCTTGGTGGCTGAATTCAACTGACCTATCAGTTGGTAAGCACCTTAGGCAAAGTAAGACTTTGGTATTGTGGGACGCATCTAGTTAACCACAAGTATGTCCTGTCATAGACTCCTGACTGTCACAGCCCATATGTTGTCAGGAGCAGTACTGCAGGTATCTGTAAAATAGGAACAGTACTGTCAATCCTATGCTGGTTATTTAATGAATTTTTAATGAATATTTGGGTTGCAGCCAGCTACAGTTGAGATAATCATCACAGATATATTTATGTAATAGCAGAATAAATACTAAGGGAAATGTTAAGTGTAAACATGGAATGAAAAGTCCTAAAGCTTTAATTCAACAACACATTTAAGCAAATACCTGAGTGCAGTCCCTATCAGTAAAGCACTTAATATTCCATTACCATCACACTCCAGATATTTCTTTGCTTTAAGTAGCCTCTCTCCAGCAGAGTTTCCTGCTAGAGGAAGTGTTGGAGCCCACAGCGTGCTTAACTCTGACCAGCTCTGCATGTGTTGGGGTCACAGTTGTATTAATATGCAATCTTGTTATTGTGGGCATGCATAGTCAGGTGATAAAGTTTAATTGGAAACCTGCAGCTTTTCCCAGACACTTTTCTCAAGACAATATGCATATGAAATGCTGCAGTGTCACCCTGTCAGTGGCACTAATGCTTTTAGAGTTGTTTCTGGAAATTACTTTATAGAAATAAAAGGTCAAGTATTCACTATGTAGAATAACACATTTCCACTTGTAAATGAGGTTTAGTTTAGAGCCACAGGGGCAAAACGGAAACTTGTTATAAACAGTTACAGAGCTTGCTGTGCTTTATATATATATATACATATATATTTTGAGATAGAGATATATATATCAAGTGATGGAATTCACTTACAAACATTACTTAGCATGTTAATACATGATACACAGCTGGCTGCAGACTCCACTTTGGTAGCAAGCTCAGTGTGGACAATGTTAATGCCGGCAGCATTCCTTGATACAGATGGGATAGAAGCTCTTCATGTTCTCAGGCCTACACATGGGTGTAGCAGAAGTCTACATTAGAGAACCTGGGAGCACTGTTTAGTTTAAGGTGCCTGACACAGCTGTATCCTTGTTTCTTCCCAAAGGAAGCCCCAGAATTTTTGCCAGATGCTGTAGGAGACTGATGTGCCAAGACTCAAGTTTGTTCTGTGATGAGCAACCGGCAGTGAAAACAGATGCAGCCCAAGAGCAGATATAACCAAAGAGCTAGCTTATGGATCACAGGCGACGAGTACGTGTCCAAGCTTCCAGACAGCAGGCATGCATGGCTTGATGAGCAAGTGCTAAATGAACACTTACGGTCCTTTTCCTCAGAGTGGTGCTAAGTGGAAAAGTAATTTATTTTCACCATCCTTTCGTGTCAGCCTGCCCTGCGGCTGTGAAATTAAAGTAGGACAGAAATGCTTTTCAGAATAAGCACTCAAAAAAAGAAGAAGTAATTTGACCATAGATTTCTGTTGATTCCTTTGTATCAGCAGATGAATCTTGTTCTTAAAGCTGGACCCGGGATTCTAGTTCTTCTAAGCAGAATAAGTTATTATGTGTTGCGTTTATGTTTATCCAAATACAAGCTTCATGCCACAGTAATAGTGGGGTTTTTTTTTAGCAGCTGTCTTGAACTGATGTGAAAGGATTTCTATTCAGGACAACATCTGCTTTGTAGCACAGCTTTTTGTGAGCGCCTCTACTTGCATTAAGTGAAGTTATTCAACAGGCCACTTGCAAGGTCAGGGCAAAATACAATCAGACTTGCACAATTATTTTTACAATTATTTTCTGAAATGAAACATGCACTTCTTCTTTACAGTTGAAGTCTGGAGACCGAAAATTGAATTCTTGGCTGTACTGGTGGGTGCTCAAGTGCTACCCTGTGCTACTTCAGGCGCTAAAACATCTTGACCTTTTATCTGGAACAATTAAATTGAGTTTTGCTTAAGTGGCACATCTGCTGTTCAAGCTGGGACTTGTTTGCATGAAGACTGCCATTCTCAGTTCAGAAGACATTTGCTTATCCAACCAAATTATAACTCCAGTTTCCTTTTTACAAACATCTGTTTGGAGGCAGGAAAATCTCTCTGGATGTGAAGCTTCAGAAAGCAGCTTCGAAATTTTCATGCAGTGTTGACCTTGTGATCATTAGCCAAATTCCTCTCTGAAATTCTGCAAGCCCCAACAATATTACTTCCTGAGTCAAGTGCTGCTTGGTTCTAGGAAATCCTTGTATGACTATGTCACAAATTAAAGAAAGGAAACCAGATGCTACAAACAAGCAAAATTTGAACGTGTATGCTGTCATTTTTCTTCAGTACAATAGGTTCATGTGTCAGAATTCTTATTAGGTGGCAGAAAGAACATTTTAGTGGCATACCTGAGCAATAAGAAACCTCTCCTAATAAGATTTATAAAAAATTCTCTCTTGGCAGTGACTGTCTTTATGCATGGTTGTAAAAAGACCTTATTCAGGTAAACACAGTGCAGTGAGGGAAAGCAAAGCTGTAAAAATTATTAGTTGGTCTTCTTGTGAGTATAAAAATTGAATTATAACCACCAACATTTTATCAGGAACATTCATTAACAGTATAAAATCTGATACTCTTCAGAAGTAAAGAAATATATGTTTCACTTGCCTATTTGTTCTGATACAGGAAGCCAGCTTTAATTTACAATGGTGGAGCCTTAATGGTATACATTTTTAAGATATTTAGTGTATTTATTTTGAGAAGTTGTTCACGTTTTCAATCAAAAAGGCATTTTAAGTGGTTGAAATGATCTTCAGTTGAAACAGGTTGACATCTGCACCCCTTCCTAGGCCTGGAACAAAAGAACGCTTTAACAGGTGGATGAGTACCAGGATGAGGTTGCCTGGTATTAGCAACAGCTGGTTTCCAGATGCTTCACTGTCCTACTGAGCTTCTTTGTTGTGGTGTTACTGGAGCTGATGCAGGTGGGAATAGTTAAGTGGGAAATCTGCCTGCCCTCTCCCTTTTTAAATATTCATTTAGATTTTTTTCATCTTATTGATAAAAGTCTACTCACACTTTAGTGGATTTGTTTCTCTTCTCATTTGGTAATTCTTCTGGGGACTATGCTATTCACATCAACAGAATTGCACTTGTATATAACTAGGAGGAGAGGAGTTGGTCGAAGATTCATAAAGCCTGTTGATGTTGCCATGTCTTTTAATTCCCATGGGTCAATGAATCAGTTAACCTGTTTCCTTCAGGACACTGGCATAAAACCAAATGGGAGTGTTAACATTTGATGAAGAATTAACACCGTTCAGAAATAAATGACCAGTGTTTCAGTGTTACATGGCAGGCCAGAGACTATGCTACTCCTTGTGGCAGCTTTAAAGGGGAAGAAGCTCTCACGCTTTAAGACATAACTTTCTGCTTCCTTTCTGTTAAGATACAGAGGCAAAAACAAACATTGAGATGTCAAAGGCTGTATTTATAAAGCCAGTGGGTACATTTCTTCTTCTTGTTCTTGTGCAACTCTTCCATAGTGGAAAAATTATTAGAAAAGCCTTTTCTGAACAGCCAGTTTGTATTGGTCAAGTCTGACAATCTGTCTTCTCATACCAGGGTATTACAGATGTGAGACATCTATCAGGAGCTAGTAAGATTATCATACAGTTTAAGTTTGTATTAAATGAGACATGTTGGGCAGGACTTCCTCCATATTTTAGTAGCAATTGGTCTCGCTTTGAATGTGTAATACTGCACATGCATGGTATCAGGAGGCTTAGATGCAGCTGAATTACCTTGGTGGATGTCTACCTCTAGTAACAACTGGGGTAGCTAAAGCAACGAGACTCCTAACATAGATGCTTTTCAAGTTCCTGAAGTTAGGCAAGCTAGATCCAGACTAGTATGGTAATGTGCCTACCAATAAAATTGTTTCAGAACTGTACATTTTAAGTAATCTCTGTATATAAAGAAATGTATGTAAATGTAGAAACAAAGAAAATTCCTTAGTCTAAATCTTTGTTGTCCAACCAAATGTTGTATAAAAGGTCTGAAAAAAACCCTGCTTAAATAGCCTCATTTCTAAAGTGCATGGCTAATCCTGCTTCCTTAAAAATGTAGGATAATGTATCTCTTAATTTAATGGGAGAAGAGCTAGGTTGTGATGGTGAAGTATTCAAAACTATTGTGATGTGTAAAGCTTTAAAAAATCTTCAAGCATCTAAAAATTCTGCACTAAGCAGATAATTTTTCCACTCTAAATCATATTTCATAAAGGACAATCCTTTTATCCACAGATTGTAAAGGAGGCACATGAGGTTCTGGTTCTGTGCGTACTTTGTGTCATACTTTCTGTTCGTGCAGCTCCAGCCTTGTTCCTTGGGATGCTGAAGTATACAATTGTACATGTCATCTGCAAGACAGAAGGGCAGGATCTTGCTGTCAGTTTTTCCCAACAAGAAAAGTAGAGTTTAAAGTCAAAACAGATGCAAAGCGAGAAAGCTATAGAAATAAAAAATGACCAGTCAGGTAAATGGCAAAAGTGCGACAGCATGTTTTGTGAGTTGTTAGAAACTTTTTACCTCTTAATAATGTTCATTATTTACTCCTTTAATTGTCATGAAAAAAAGTCTCTTGGAAAGCAATTGCTTTCCACAGTGAGGCTGCTTCTGGCCTCAGTTGAAATCTTTTATATGTGCCTTTAGCACAAAATTAAGAAAATTATGGCCACTTACTCTTTTATGATTTTGGGTATGTGTCTTTCCTTAGATTGCTTATTTAGATTGTAACTGATCTAAAACTCTTTTGTTGAATTTGGTAGGAGTTGATAAATGTTATGCTGTTTGCACTTTCCAAATGGCAAAATCTTAATAATCCAAATTTATGTGATTTTTCTTTTTCAGCAAGAATGATGTAAGACATAAGGATTCCTAATGAAATTAAAGAACAGAAGATTGCAAATTAAAAGTAAATATCTTCCAAAGTGATGTCCTTACAGCAAGTATGGCTGAATTTGAAGGATTGGGTAATTATGACCATTAATGTAATATGTTTCATTTTACATGCTCAGAAAAATCCCTCCTTTCACAATAAATGACAGTCCTCATATAGGATGGACGCACTAGATATTTGTGTGCATAAAAGATAGCTATTTTTTCAGTTAATATATGCCATTCATCAGTGTTATTAAAGTATTGGCATACTTTGATACTGTATGTAAGGACAGTTTAGTAGTTTATTTTTGTTTGCTTTAATGAATATGTTTCTTCTATAGAACATCTGAGAGAGGGAGACCTACATAAAAGAGTCGTGTGAATTATTTAAGGGTAATATACCAGGTTAGTGATTTTTAATGTCAAAGAAACATTCTGGATGCTTTATCTGCATTCAATAGACTTGCTTTTGCATGCATGGAATATGGAAGCTGTCAAAGTGTTGAAAGTCTGACAGATTTTTTGAGCTAAATATTCTATTTTTTGACAGAACAGTTTGGTTTCTGAGTCCTGCATCCTTGCTTCACTGAGCAAAGGATGCTGTTATGTTTGACTTAGTTCATTTTGAAGTCTCCAGTGGTCATAACCCATAAACCAGAGTGACACAGGGCCATCAATCAGCATGCGATGACTCTTGTCTAAGCTTTGAATTCTTCAGTCTATCTTGCACATGATGTTCAGAGTGCAACCTGTGGAATATCAGTCATTTTTATAATGTGACAGTGGGGCTCTGAGATAGGAGTTCTTGCCCACGTCTCCAGGTCCTGGGCAATTAACTGCTGGGTGACCTACCTGACAGTACTGTTTCTTCAGGCCTGGTGTTTTCATATGTAAGAATGCCTCTAAACGTTTTTGAGTTGTACTTTAATGACGTGCCATTCAACCAATGAGCCATGACCATTCTCAGGTTTTGATGGCTAAATGGCCACGATCTGGACGTGATATGCTTCAGGCTCAACATTAATTTTATTCTTTCTGCTGTAATACCACGGTGAGTATATAATACTTACACGGTGAGTACTGGTGTATGTGCCAGCTTTCAAATTTGGCAAATTAAAATAGCGGTACAATCTGTTGGGTATTTATATGTGTCTGTGATCATTTCTGTACAGTTAACTGCATAGATTTTCTAAGTTAATTGAAGGAAAATAATATGTTTGATTACCACTGGTGGGAGACTCACAGTAATAAGCCTGTCTCTTTGTGATAGGCATAAAAATACATGGGATTAAATTTAGTGATTTTATTTACCTGATTTTTAAAATTTTGGTATATGATTGAAGTCATGCATTTGTGTAGTGTTTTGTTGTGGGGCCAAAAGCTGGAGGATAAAACTCATCTTTTTTTTTTTTCTCAAAATAAGCTATTAATTTTTTCCCTTTCTTGCATAGCCTGTGAGTTTTAATTACACTTTCATTGTGAGTAGCCCATGAACATGACTAGTAAGCACAGCTTTCTATTAAAAAGTATTCATATTTTTAAACCACAAAGACATATCTCTACATAACTGCAAGGTACTCCTTTAACTTCTTCGTTATCACTTGAATGTTTTTTTGCCATGCTCATTGTGCTCTGCTAGACCTGGCTCTGCTGTAAACCTCAAAACAAACTGGAAAATCCTGGGACTAGTTTACACAGATTTCCAGTGACTCACTAGGGGTGGCATGGCTGTTTGAAGGCAACAGATTCTGCTGGCTCCACAGAGTTTGTGGTTGGTGGTGAAGCTGTGGAGGGGCTGTACAACACCCAGCTATTCCTGGGGTGTAGGGATGGGCTAATCTGGGGCCAGCACAGCATAAGGGTTATGTGAATTTAGTTGCCTGAGCATAAGAGTCTAATTACCTTGGACACCCCAATCTGGCTTCCCTCCAGATGGGCAAAAAAATGTCCTAGTGGGTCATATCTGTCAGCCATGGGCAAACGTCTTGGAAATACGCTAAATTAGCCTGTGACTTGCTTGAAGGATCCTATGTTTGTAACTCAGACGTCTCTTTAGTGTGCAAAGACAGTAGGTACATCCCAATGCATGCAGGAAATAGCTCTGACACCTTAATGCAATTACATGTGACAGTTTTAGGTATAAATATATATTAAAATCTTTCCATCATCTTCCAGAACTACAGGGGACTGATCTCAAGATATAGCACCCAAAGCTGCTGTCCCAGAACAGGGTATGCAGGAACTGATGGCTGATTTCACTTCACATTCACCAGCAGGCAGCCAACACTTAGCAAATCTAATTCAGAAAGTAAGGTAAGAACACTCATATAAGGAGCCTTCTCACACTTGTCAGAAGCGTGAGCACTTCGTCATATAAGTGCAAAAGTGGGTCAGAAATAAAGATTTTTTTTTTCCGTGTTAAAGCTCGCTCAAAATTCAAAGCAAATAATCTCCTCTATGTAAGTGACTGGTGTTGGCAGGGCTTCCACCAGCTTTTTTACAGGGACGAATACTTGGAATTAGTTGCTGTACAGCAGGGTTGTGTACTGTATACTACTTGTTTCCTTCTCCAGCATGTAAAAGCATCCAGCACTGCTTTATGAAGATTGCCAGTGTGCCTCTACCACACGTCAGTAAACAAGTAGCAGTGGGTTGGAGCACTATCAGGAGGGCTGTTCTAGGAGGAAGCATTCTGGCTACATCAAACTGAAGGGCTTCAGGTCTTACCTGATCCCATCTCAGTGACCTGGGCACCCACCAGCTGCCTTGTCCTGACCCTGGTGTCTGCAAGAAGTAAACTCAGATGTAGGCTGCTGAAAGGCCCAGGACTCCGTAATATATCACAGTGGATATGTGATGCTAAATGTATAAGTGGATTTTGTTGCTATGTTTATGTTGTATTTTGATTGTAGGCAGATGGTGTATAGGAGTGATATATTTAAGTAAAAGAGAACCAGAGAGCGATTCCTGGCTCTGCAGATACAAGCCTGCACTCAAGGCGTGGGTTACACTCATGGGGAAAGCCAGGTCAGCAGTATCCTGGGAACCTCCCTATGCGCTGGCTGCCATCATGCATACTGCCTCCATTCCAGAGGTGGAAAAGCAAAGCTGAGCTGGGGAGTACATCAGGCTTATGCTTGCTCCTTGGCTAGGCTCCCTAAGGTTTGTTCAGCCTGACTATCCTGTAACATCGGCTGGGGCATAGTCAGCAATCTAAAAATTATTAGCAACGTCCTCTGCCTTGGGAGTGGAGCAGCTGAGAGCTAGTAGGGAGATAACCAGGCACTACATTCGCTTTAGGACATCAGTGACAGATCCACTCATCTTTAAAGACATGATAATACATTTGATTCCCACGTGTGGAAGACTCCCAGTGATAATCCTATCTATTTGTGAGAGGCATAAAAATACATGGGATTAAATTTAGCAGGGTGAGTGTAACTGTCCAGCAGTGTGATTTTCCTCATGTTAAAAGGTCAGTTGCAGCTGCGTTGCACATTGCAAGAAGTAATCCCATAAACAAGTTAAAATCTTGTCCCTTGATGCATCCATTGGTGCTAAGAGGTACTGTCAGGTGTACTTATTGGGCTCAAAATATAGGCATATACATGTATGTGTATAGGCATATACATGACTATGTACATGTATATGTGTATGTTGTATAAGACTGACGCATGCCTCAGGACTCTCCATCGTGCTTACTTCCCAGAAAAAGGTGTTCCTGTCAGTTCTGTGATATAATTCAGAATGTGATAAAGAGTAATATCATGTACTTTACCTGTAAAATACAAAATAATATTAATCATAGTCCCCCTTTTTCCTCTAAAGTCAACTAATTTCTTGCTATTTTCCCAGATGGACTCAGTTTTCCCTTCCTGGGAAAAAGACACTGTGCTTTGATGATTCAAACCTTCCAAGGGTAAAATGAGGTTTATTTTTTTTTTCCCAATAAGAAAGACTGGCTGATCTCCAAAGCTTCTCTGTCTCTATCTGCATTCCTGACAGTTTTCTTGTGCTTGCACTCCTGCTCTGCTCTTAGATCAGTACAGATACCTTCATAACCATGCAACTGCTTTTCGTGATATATTATTTCTTTATTAAACGTAGCCTTTTGTGTTTACACCCTCACTGCTTTCCTCCTTAACAAGATCTTAAATCACACAGTATGCTGGAAAAACTGATGTAGGAACCTGCTGGATCTGGTACAGATGGCAAGTGCTGTTGGGTGACTCTTGTTATGTGGTTGGAAAAGGTGTTTGTGGGCCTGCTTGCAGCCAAGGCAGATATTGAAGACTCCTATCTTTCTCATTTTATACAGCTTCCCATAACAACTCTAGCCACTCATCACATCCTAACTCAAACAACCTAGTTTTAGAAAGTCTTTCATTCCAAAGCAATAGGTTCCTTTTGAAGCAAGAAGCTTCTCCTGGGAGCATGCTCTGACGCTCTCCTTTGGACTCGATGCTTGAGGGATCACCAGCATGTAAGGAAATCCTGTCCTATTGGGGTTTAGTCAAATGTGCTGGCAAAAATTGGATACCAGGGATTTAAGCAACTTCCACTGCTCTGAAGAAGCTGACTTGGTCTTTCGAGACTCCCCAGCTACCTACAGAGGCAGTCATACTGCACATGGGTGCCCAGAACCTTTCTGTAGATGTGGCAGTGAGCGCTGAGACAAGATGATCACAATTGGCCACTAATGATGTGTATCACATCTCCTGGAGAACAGGATGGAAGATCTAGGGATAGATTTGTGGTGGTGCTGAGCACACACAACTGATGCAGGAACTGACTGAAAATGTACTTTGGATATACATAAGACTGTAAAAGGCAGTTCTGAAAAACAAGGATATAGAACTGTACCTCTTTGATGGAGTATCTATGAATTTAGATAATCCTTTTGGAACATATTTTTATACTTTTGATATCTCTAATAAAATATAGCACTGAAGTCCACAATTTAATTGCAGGTTGTTCTAAAAATATATTTCTTCAAACAAAACAAAAACCCCTCAGCAAGATAATTTCATGAAAGTCTTTTATTTTTCTTACAAAATTTATTCTCTTTTCAGCTTCTTTGTACAGTCCATGAAGTGATAAGGCAAACAGCTTTTATATCTGAGACTCCATAGGTAACTCAGGTTGGTCACCCAAAATCAATAAGCACAGCTTAAATTCTAGCTTTTGACTCTCTCTGTGTCCAAGTTTCTCAACTGTAAAACTAGAACTGGTATAGTGGTTGTAAAATTAGCATTATTATTGCTCTTGATGCTCTTAGACACACAAGCAGAGAGATTATTAGTACATTAAAAAATCTAGGAAGTGTTTGAGGTTATAAGAACCATTTCTGCAAAGTCTATAAATGATTAAAAAAGATAATTAAGAATTTTTGAGCTGCTGAATACTAACTTGCTAATGACTTTAAGTGGTCCATTTTCTATTAGTTCCAATTCAAGCAGTGATTTTACAATATATATTTTCTTCACATTAAAACTGAATTTTTGCTTCACATAGTCTCCTCATTGCTTTATTTTTTTCATGCATGATTCTGAATTTAGAATATGTCTGCATGATTCCTTGGTGGAGAAGGGACAGTTACTTTTATAAATAGGATATTTTTCCTTTTTACACTGATTTCCCATCTCACTCTACAGGACTTTGAGGAAATGCAATTATTTCCACCATCATCTGAGAAGCCACTTAGATACTCAAAGGTGAGCATTTGCTTAAGTGCTTTACTGATTGAGCTTTTATGGCACTGGAGAGTATCAATTAAAACAACCAAAAAAATCCCTTTGTCTCCCTCATGATTAAAAAGAAAAATAAAGTGAGGAGCATAGGGAGCAGTTTGACCTTTAGAAAACATTTTCTCAGGTATTTTAATGAAATGCAAAAGGTACTTCTAAAATCTTTAGCATTCATCAACGGTTGCCTCGTCTGTCAAAACACCGACGAACAGGAGCAAAACACCAGGCAGTAGACCTTTGGGGGAAGCTCCCTCCCACCCCTGGCCCCGGCAGATGGCACTGTTCTGAATCATTTGAGCCAGAGCCAGGCGTGCCCGAGGGATGCTCCGGCCCCGGCCCGCCATAGGGACGGTACCGGCATCGTACCCATCTTCATCCGCCCTGACACCGGAGGGAGGAGGAGTTTAGATTCTTCCCAAGTCAGAAATGAGTCAGTCTCAACGTTTTCATTGTGTTTTGTTAAAGTCATCAAGAGTTTGTTGCTAGCGAGGAAAAATAATCAGTACTCCAGTGCTGGAGCTGTGATTTTCTTTCTGCTGCTTGTACCTGTTGCTTCACTTCGTAGTGACTCGGCCCCCCCTCTTCACTTCATAACAACTCTTCCCACCCCATTCTGGTTTTCAGCAAATTCAGGGTTCATTTTATAAAGTTGCAAGTTATAAAAATCTACTGCAGGTGTCAGCAAGAAGAAGTATCCCTTCCTGATACCTAGTGAGGTGCTTTGGAGAGGCTGTATCTCTGCTGAGGGTGAATTCACCCTGTATGTGTTATGTGTGTGTGTCTGCTGATTTGCTTCCGTGGAGGGAAGCACAGACCTAAATGCTCAATTTACAAAGGAACTCAGGGACTGGAAAAATTAACTTTTGGTACCCTATTGCCTTGTAAAATTCTCTGTCCTAAGTTAGAAGCTCAGGCTTCCTTGAATGGGAGGAGTTTGGTGTCAAAATGGACTTCGTGTTCACATTTGGGGTAGACAAAGCTCCTCTTTGGTTTTTATTTACTGTTTTTATTCATGGCTTCTCTTCTGAAGTTTGGTGCTTAAATCACACCACTCTTCTGGTGAAAAGACAGGGATATTTTTTTGGAACTGGGAGCACCTTTTGGCTGTAGGTATTGATCTGGCCTTACTTTGATTCCTGGGAGGGGATATGTGAGTGCCCTCCTTACCGCTGAGCTGAAGGGAAAGTAAACATGAGCATGGGGAGCAGCTTTGATGTAAAGTACTGAAGAGAGTACATGGCTTAATTCCTAGGATTCTGGGATTTGGGGAACCTGCCTTTTAGTTTATGCTTGCTATCAAGCAGATGGGAACTCTGAAAATAGATCCTTTCCCTCTTGTTCCACTGTGTATAGTAAACCACAGAGTTCCTGGATTCTTATGCTTGGAAGAACCTGCAACTTTTCTGCAAGTTGCCACAGTCATCTGGGATGAGTCCTTCTCTTTGGACCCAGTCCTCCTCAGCTGAAAAACAAGCAGCAGAGTAGACTTCAGCCCTACCTTTCTTTGAGACCCTGTTGTGCAGTTCAGGCAGCTTCCTGCTTAGCATGCAGGTTTTTGTAGTTTATAGAATGATTAGAATCACAGAATGGTTTGGGTTGGAAGGGACCTTAAAACTCATCCAGTTCCAACCCCCCTGCCATAGGCAGGGACACCTTCCACTAGACC